AGCCATGTAAGCCTGACTTATGGCCTAAAGCCAACTGACCACCCCAATAGGTCTTGGCTACCTGTCTGGGGATGACACCTGACATCCTAATTAATTTGAATAGCTTAGAAGTAGGGTCGCCGGTCGGACAGGGCACAGATATATAAGGGTCTGGCCGAGATACCCAAGGCAGACTGGCAGCAGATGTGCAAACGGGACTCATGGAGAGAGAGAGAGCCAAAGGAACCTAGAGTGAAGCCTGTAGCAGCTTGCCCAACCACGCCCAAGCCTGATGAACTGTCTCCTGGACCGACCCAGCCCTGCCCTGCCCTGTCTTTAGAGATGTATACTGATGATACTGCTGTAATAAACTTGACTTGTTGATCCAACCCAGCGAATTGTGTTATACAAGGACGGGAGCTTCTTGCGAATTGGTGCCGTGACCCGATCTTGATCTAAGCCCGTATAAGCAGTTCATTACAAAGTGTAAAGCTAATATTGAGCAAGTCGGCTTCAATATAAAAAGTCTGTTAAATCGTTATCACTCAGAACGACTAACGGGAATTGTGGGAATGTACATTAAACTCCATGATGAAGTTGAAAGTTTAAACACAACCCTAATTAACTTAAGTGATAGCTTTGAGGACTATGGAAGGTTGCAACCTCGACACAAACGTTCCCTTTTGCCTTTTATTGGAAGTGCGCTAAGTTTTCTCTTTGGCACAGTATCTGAAGGTGACCTTCGCTCCATAAGACAAAACATACGTAGTCTAGCCTCGAACCAAGCCGGGTTGATGCATGTAGTGAAGGAAAGTTTATCTCTACTTAATACGTCTCGAGTGCAAATATCTGAAAATAGGCACACGATTAATGGTATTTTAGATGTACTTGATGAAGTAGAACACAAAATAGCCAATGTTACCTCTAGCATTACCAACAGAATAATAAGGCTAGAGTGGTCCACTAAAGTTTATCTTCAGATTAGTTTAGTAATAGAAGAAATCAGGGGCATGCTACAAACATTACTGTCATACATAGAACACCTTCAGTTACAGCTGAATATGTTAGCCCTGGGACGACTATCGCCCAGTACAATCACCCCTCCAAATCTATTTATGCTACTAAAGGAGATTAAGAATCACTTACCCCCGAAGTTTCAATTAGCGGGAGATCCAGACAGAGATCTATGGAAATTCTATAAAACCCTTACCTGTAACACTGTTGTAGAAGGAGGAAAAATCTTAATAATTGTACCTATTCCACTTCTGGATAGTGGGGGGAAAATTAGAAATCTACCGGGCTCATAATTTACCATTACCCATGACATCCAAGCACCAAAATCTCGATGATAAGCAGATCCATGATATAGTTGCAAAATATCAATTGGAAACTGACGTGATAGCGGTAGATGTAGCACGAACTAAATATGCACTATTGAAAATCTCTGAACTCCAGGCTTGTACTCACCCTCTGACAAGTTATTGTCATATTCAAAGTCCTATTTACCCTATCAATTTAAGTCAACTGTGTGTAATTGCTTTGTTTATGAAAGACCCAGCTAAAGTAGAAAGACTGTGTAAGGCCGAAGTGGAACCTGAGTTTATCTTACCGGTGGCCGAATATTTAACCTCAGGACAGTGGGTAGTCACAACTAACCGCCGCCTAGAGTTCACGGTCGTGTGTGAACATGCGTCAGTACGCCCGCCCACAGTAATAGTATCCCCCTCCATTTGACGTGTTAAGACTAAATACATCCTGTTCAGCATCAAATGATTATCTCGTCCTATCGCCCTACTATCATAATGAGAGTCACCCTAAGTTTAACGATAATTTTGTTCAAATAACAAACACTCCAAATGTATCTAGGATGTTACTATGGAAACCATTATATCGTGTAATTGGGGGATTCAACACTACTAAATTACCAACCAAGCTAAAAGGGTTGAAAAGTATACCAATGCATCATTTGATTTCGGAACTGAACGATATGAAAACCATAGAAGTAGAGTCAAAAGGATTTAACTGGAAATATTTGGTAGGGACAATTCTACTGCTGACATGTTTAGTATTAGGGATAATAATATATGCCAAGATTGCCAAACCCTGGTTGGCCCATCGCAGGAGACATATGAGGAATATCATGGTTCATCACCCTGAGTTTGAACTGGTGACGGTAGATACCGAAGGCGAAGTTTCCGCTGACCGAGCTATTCCCTCGGCACCACTGACGACTCCACGTCCAGATCCAGCCCAAGAGGACCCTGCACCCCTGATTAGGAGAATATATCCTACAATCAAGCCGACGAGTGATGACTAGACGGGATCAAGGATGCAGTAGGCGCCTGGACTGACGGCCATGTGATGTGATAGTACAACGACTTGTCGACGACTTGTGTGTTGTGTTAGGTACCCTGGAAGTGCACACCAGGATACCTGGAACTGATAACAGCCCAGACGGACTGTAAACATGAATGAAAACTGTCCCTGAAGTAAACGGTAGATTCAACCGTTGCAACCACAGCTAATTGCATCAGGGCAGCTAAAGACCATCAGTGTAAAATATGTGACCTGTATATCAACTATATATTGTGAATAATGTCATTACTATGTGAATGGAAGTATACGATGTATAATATGAATGTTTATATTATGTAATTCTATGAAGAAGGGTTGGGCACCCACAAAGAAATTTTCAGATGAACATTTCTGTTCAACAGAGGGGCGAATATAACGCTATGGTGTGTCAGGTGGCCAAAGACATGGCTGTCGCCCCAGTGACATCCATCAACACACTGCTCTGGTCAGCCACATCTGACATGGCCAAAGCCGATAAGCCATGTAAGCCTGACTTATGGCCTAAAGCCAACTGACCACCCCAATAGGTCTTGGCTACCTGTCTGGGGATGACACCTGACATCCTAATTAATTTGAATAGCTTAATAAGGGTCTGGCCGAGATACCCAAGGCAGACTGGCAGCAGATGTGCAAACGGGACTCATGGAGAGAGAGAGAGCCAAAGGAACCTAGAGTGAAGCCTGTAGCAGCTTGCCCAACCACGCCCAAGCCTGATGAACTGTCTCCAGGACCGACCCAGCCCTGCCCTGCCCTGTCTTTAGAGATGTATACTGATGATACTGCTGTAATAAACTTGACTTGTTGATCCAACCCAGCGAATTGTGTTATAGATGGTCAGCGCTTCGAGGGTGATGTTGGCGTACTTCCTGTTTACTTCCTTCTGCATCTTGTCTCTTAAATATGTGATTTTACCAAATTACTGACTTGACATATTCACTGTAACATATATAGATCTTACACAAGCAATACAAGTCCGTAGCAGCGAACTATTGATAAACACAAAACCTCTGTTGATGTATTTGAACTTACTCGTGAGACCTTTGGGAAACCGCCCTTCGAGAACTTGTCTTGTGTGCGCAGTGACAAGTAATGGTGTAATGGAAATGAAACGTTCCTCGGCTATAAGGGCCAGAAATGTGCCAGCGACACCGAAATGCAATGCGTAGCGGCAAATGTAACCTATGTAAAACGTTGTACAAGCTCCAAACCCACAACTACTGACCGTCAGTACTATAGTCTCAGTCGTCACGAACCCCATCCGGATCCGCGCCGGATCCGAGATAGTGTATGCATGAGAATTCAAATGCATTAAATACTGGTTACATTTAATACACACAAACACAACAAAACAAAGGTTTAATGAGGGGAATACCAATGACCCCTCTGAAATAAGTCCTTTTAAAACAACTTCCCTAACATATAAGAAATACGGTACACTGGTCACACAGTTTATGAATGGGAAGCTTCACCGGTAGGCGAGGCCGGTATGTTGACATTGATAGGCCGGTATGTTGACATTGTTATGGCCTGTCAGTCGCTTAGTCTATCTGCTACACACTAGCTATGAATAAACCTGCTTCGGCATATTTTTCCAATGAAACATTTTCCTCGCGTTTAAAACTTCCATGTTAAAATATGTTCTCTCTTCGAATTAAGGGTGACTGTTGTAAACATGAAACACGTTGTTCGCCTCTACATGTCTGCTCTATTGCTTCTGTCTCTTTCCCAACAAACATAGCTTCATGCTGTTACACTGCTACATGACTTCTCAGTTTTCATAATGACAAAGATATGTTTCACAGCATTTATTTTCAAAATAGCATGCTGTGAAGTAAAACTAGAACTGTATACATCATATTAGATTACATGGGTCAAAATAAAACTTTTCATCACGTTACATTTGAACGGAAAAGCTAGTATGAAATATGTCGATAGCATTTAAACATAACAACTATCCACTACTTTCATGGTGTTAGACTTGTACAGGACACGTTCTGTATGAAATTTATTTAACTACATTTTACATGACGGGACATTCCGACCCAGTGTTAACACAACCCGTCTCTATTGTGGTATGATGTACTTTCAACACACACTCTGTATTCATCAAAACAGGTTACACGATCAAGCCATCTAGCGGGCTATTTGAATATAGGGTCACGTGAGTTGTCAAGCGCGCTCAATTCAAACTGGGCTGACAGGTACTCTCTGTCTGTCTATTCAGGGCAGCACGCTATACATAGCTCTATTCATGACACTTTGCTTTTGTTATTCACGTCTTATAAAGAGTTTTCTACAAGATTGCAAGACTGCATGAAAACACCCACTTTTCATTGACCTTTCCTGACCTGTGACGTCATGCCTACATTAACATATTCATGCATTCTCATCCGGCGCGGATCCGAATGGGGTTCGTGACGACTGAGACTATACTACTACCGTCACTATTGGACAGTTCTTTATTAACCAGCCACAGATATACTTGGTACGTGGTCCTGTCGACATTATTACGTCAGTAAACCATCTGTAGCTGACATAGCCAGTTACTTCTAAAGTCACAATTGGTTGGACATTTTACTAGTATACTCTCTTTATTTCCACTTCTCTATTTCATATACAAATCCACATGTACAAGCCCCTAATTAACACATCATGTATTTTGAAAGGCAAACCCACAACACCAGGACGTCCACCAGTGTCAACAACACCTGTCTACAACCAGCCAGTGACCTTGACCTGCAGTTCCAACTCTACCACAGTCCCAGCTGACCATGGCCTGACCTTGACCTATACCTGGCAGCGTGACAACACTGACATCTCAGTTACCTCCCCTGGGTCTCCCTACACTTTCACAGTGAGTTCCCGGGACAGTCACAACTACAGATGCAGAGCGAGAGAAAGTCGGGGTCTGGAATCCGAGTGGAGCCAGGTGTACAACATGGAGCCACAGTGTGAGTACGCACAACGACTACCCGCACTTGTATGTCTAATCTAATCGTAACATGTAAATATTTCTACACAATTATACATACACAATGCGTGAAAATATGACAATTTCTAAACCGATAATGGAAGTTCTTTCAAGAAGTACTGAGGACTGTGGGCTACTGATAATAGAGTCTCAAAATATGCACGGTGTTAAGCGAGAGGTGTATTTGGGCAAAATGTCCCAAGATGAAACGGAAATATATCCTCTATTGCTATATGCCGAGACACAGCATCACGTCTCAAGCATCGTAAGTGCCGCACTTCTGAAATCGACCGAGCAAGAAACTTTGAACAGCATTAATACACTTGAAGTACACTGAGGACCGTTGTGATTGTCCAAAAATATTGGTAAATTGGAAAAGGGGGACAATTGAGCAATGTACCCAATTGCAAAGAAAGAGTTTGTCACAGAAACCACAAAAGCTAATTTCCACAAACTGATGCGTATTCGAATTGCATCAGATAAGTTGATAAATACTAGATGATCAATCACTCAGTCATTTGATGCTTCTATTTGAGTAGACTTTTTAAAATAGTTTTCAAAGTTCTTTTCACGGTCATTTTTAAATCATTAAATGAGTGTCTTTGTAAAGGTGTGGACGTATATGCAAATCTGGTGATAAATCGTACACACAGTATCAGTGCCACATTACCATTCATTCCAGACGGCCCCTACCAGATCTCCCTCACCCCCTCCACCTCCTCCTACAATGTGACAGAACACCAGGCTCTTCCATCAATCACGTGCTCCGCCCTCTGTAGACCCGGATGTAGCTACAGGTGGTTACACAATGGAACAGTCTTCAGCAGTGAAGCCGTGCTCCAGGGACAAGCTGACAGATCCAAGTCAGGCTCCTACAGATGTCAGCCTTCTAATACACACGGGAGTAGTGACAGTGTTACAGTCAGTTTTGATGTTCAGTGTAAGTATATAGCCTAAAATGGTGACAGTGTTACAGTCAGTGTTGATGTTCAGTGTAAGTATATAGCCTACACTGGTGACAGTGTTATAGTCAGTGTTGATGTTCAGTATAATGATAATAATCAGGCCTACACCTATCTTGGAATGCAAGTTCGAGACAAGCTCCACAACGCCCAGATTCAAGACAACTTTGGGCGGAGTTTAAAGCTATCTTAAAAAGAAAATATGGAGCCCAGAGCTACATGCTCGAAACAAGGTCAGAGCCACCAATACTTTTGCTGTGCCAGTTCTCTCCTGTTCCTTTGGAGTAGTTGACTGGACAAACCTCCAGAGTCTTGACCGCCTGGCCAGAAGGATCATGTCTGATAACAGAGCCCACCACCCTCATTCCTCTCTTAATCGTCTATATATGCCAATCAGTTTGGGAGGTCAGGGTTTGATTAATGTGGAGGTTCTTTATGATAGAATTTTATTGTGTACTTTTGCACTTATACATTTATCGGATGATCCTCTGGTGAAGCATGTGAAGACTCATGATGAAGGCAAAGAATTCCACAGCTATTTTAATCGCCCCAAAGTCGTGGACAGAATCTGAAATTTGAGGTTGATTTTGTTGATGGCGATGTACTGCTGGACGGTACAGTGATGGGAGTAAACCAGGTGAAGTCCTTCACCAAGTCTGCCCAGAGTCGGTCTTTTGTGGAGAAGCTTTCTGAGAAGCCATTGCATCGTGTGTACATGCAGTGTGTTGAACAGAATAGCAATCCCACCGACTCCTTCGCCTGGTTGAAGTCGGCTGGTCTTAAATGTGAAACTAAGGGCTTCCTTTTTGCTGCTTAGGACCAGTCACTCCCCACTCGCAATCGCCTAAATGTGATTCTTAAAGAAAATATCAATATGAAATGTCGACTTTGCAATGAATTCACAGAGACTGTCCAACACCTTGTCAGTGGAAGCCCTTCCTTGGCACAAACAGCATATCTTAAACGACATGATTGCATGGCTCGCTGCTTTTACTACCGTCTCCGACATGCCTGTGGCTTTGACTCCGAGGTCCATCCATGGTACGACCCTGAACTTGTCCAGGGCGTCATGGAAACTATGCTTTCAAACAGGCCGATATACAGCCTCAGAAGAATTCCTGCCAAAAACCCTGATCTTGTCCTTTTTGATAAAGCCAAAGAATATATTTATATCATTGAATTTTCTGTCCCTTTTGACACCAATGTCATTGGCAAGATTCAGGAAAAGCATGATAAATATGCGGACCTCGCCTTTGAAATGTCTCGCTTGCATCCCAAGTACACTGTCGTCAGGCTCACCATTGTTGTCGGTGCCCTTGGTTTGGTACCTCCTGATCTCTTGGCGCAGATCAGGAGAGTGCCTGGGTTCTCCACCGGGAGTACAGCCCTTCTGACACTGTGGGTAATGCAGAAGGCTGCAGTGTTGTGGAGCCTTCATATTCTCCGGAGTTCTCGGTGGGTTCGACTAGGCAGCGTTTCCTGGGAGAAGTCCCATTCGCTGTCTGGGCTGCGTGTAGAGAGGGCAAGGGTCCTGAGCTGATGATGAGCCTTACCAGCCTGACTGTGCCAGGATCACCCGAACCCTCTCTGCTGCATACTATCTTTAATCTGTAAAACATAATAATAATAATAATTTTTGCGCCTAGGACCCAACGCGATGCTGCTCACTGGCGATACATTATTACCCTGACGGAATTGAACTTTTAAAGCCGCTGGTAAGCGCTTCGCGCGACCGTATAGATCCGTACATCTCAGATACCCCCATTTTAAACAGCTGGGTGGACTGAGTGCAATGTGGACACAACACAGTATGAGACCCAGGTCACAAATTTTGGTGTCACCCCCGGGATTCGAACCGGTGCTCCAGTCTACACTGGTGACAGTGTTACAATCAGTGTTGATGTTCAGTGAGAGTGTATAATGTGTACACTGACGACATAATTATGTTATAACTACAGAACTGCTAGCCTCTTTCAACTAATGTTGAATTCATTTTACGGTCAATATAAATCAATGATGCAATGGTTCATATTTTCAGACCCAGCCGACATAAGCATATTTAACGGCAACTCTCACAGTGGCTCAGTGACAGTTAACGAGTCATATTCAGTGACTTTGAGATGCCAAATTGACAGTAACCCAAGGTCAGTCATCAGGTTACTAAATGGAACTGAGGAGTTGACAAGGGCAGATAACTCCCTGACAGCAACATACAGACTGGAGTCAGCAGACTGTAGACAAAGGGGGAACTACTCTTGTACTGCCACTAACAACATCGGGGCACCTGTCACTCGGAGGGTGGAGCTGCTGGTTCAATGTAATACATGTATCTTGATATAATGTACGCATCGATGTCTTGTAATGGTTGTCATTATTCATTTTTGACATGATTTTTATCAGTGAATTGAGCAAAGAACATGCTTCAGGTACCAGTCTTTATTTGATCTGGTTTATGGCCTGTTGATCATGTGAACGTAGAAGTATTGTCACCTGTCTAGCAAATGACTAAAACGACCTCATATAACAACTTCTGAAGAACGATTTCATTGTTATTGTTTTTGTATACTATTCTCTGCATGTAACCAGGTTCTCCACGACTTGACGACTCTAAACAACTCAAGTTCGCCACTACACTGGGTGGTGACGTGACTGTGTCTGTGTCAGTCCTGGCCTATCCCCCTCCTACATTCACCTGGAGTAGAGTCATCAGTATCAGCCAGGACCTCACTGGTTCCTCCAGCCCGGCCTCAGACATCTCAATCACTGCCAGTGTACACCTTACTAACCTCCAACAGCAGGACTTCGGGGACTACAGTCTGACAGTGGGCAATGGCGTGGGGAGTCCAGTCACATACACAGTCAGCGTAGTGCCTGTAGGTGTGTTATGCTTTCAGCTTGCCATTGAAGCTTACCAGATTCAACCTTTTTCAATTTTATCTTTCATTTACCTTCATTTAGACTTGTTTGATTGGCATTCTAGAAGTTGCAGAGATGAAGTATGACGACATTTTTTTGTGGATATACAACTTCTTTATACTGTATAGGTGACGTTTCGATCGACATAGATTTTAATGTCGTTGTCAAGCAAGAATAAGTTGTATATCCATAACAATTGTCCTCAGTTTTCATTTGAACTTTTCAACCAATGGAATTACATTACAATAATTACGTTTATATATGTTTATGTCTTGTAAGGGCCACCTCAGACACCTACACAGTTTAGAGATCTAGATAATGCAACAACGTCGTCGGTATGGCTGTCGTGGCTGCCTGGGTTCAATGGTGGACACCCTCAGATGTTTCCCATTGAGTATCGTCAGTTTGCTACACGAACGTGGACTGTGTACAAATCCTATGATGACACCGGCGAGATGATGGTTGTGGAAGTGACTGGGCTTATATCTGGAGGGATTTACATTATCCGACTACACGCTAAAAATCACTACGGGAATTCTGATGGATATGTATTGGTAGAATCTGTGACTGCGGGGGGTAAGTGTGTCTTGATGAGCATCACTCACTGGTTGCACTATGTATCTCATGGACAACTTGTTAACTGCATCTGAAGGACATATATGGATATGTATTGGTAGAATCTGTGACTGTTGGTGGTAAGTATGTCTTGATGAGAATCACTCACTGGTTACACTATGTATCTTATGGAAAACGTGTTTTGTAAATATGTGGGTACCTTTCATGTACAATTTCTTATTTGGGTATATATTCAGAGAAAAGAAAAATAGTAATTTCTGAGTCCTTGTAGGCTGATGCAATTTTTGTTTCACAAAGGGGAGGTAAATGGTCGTATAGCTGAATAAATATACTTATGTAGACTAAGTATAGTTAATATACAAGTGTGACACGTTTTCGTGTGAAGATATCAATTCATCATTAGATATTAGGGCTTAAATATGAATAAGCACCATCAACGTTGAACACCTTGGGGAACTGGGGAAGGACTGGTCCTCATTGACCCATGCTTGTTGTAAAAGGTGACTAGCTGGTTCTTGTGGTCAGACTCTGTTCATGTATGTTATCAAGTCAATGCATGGTCTGATCGAATGTCTACAGACCGACGTCCATGTCACTAAGATATTGCAACAAACGTCCAAGCTGCAAATGAGCTTTGTACGTTGTACTCGTCTTTGGAATTTAACAGGTGCCATTTATATTACGACCCATCGCTTGCCAGGGTAGCATCTACAGATAAATAGTGAAGACCGAATCCCAAAGTTAATTTTATCCTAAGGGTTTTACAGAAAACTCTGTCGTGACACCAAGTTGTAAAAAGCGTTGTTATCATACTTGTGAAGAGCCCAATTCATAACGTTTCCTCAACGTCAGTTTGCAACAGTGTTATTACGTTGTGACACAAGGTTGCACCCTCAGGTGATAATAACGTTGTCAGAAAGAATGGAAATGACGTCTCTTTGACTTTAGCATGTTAATGGGATGGAAATCCCAAAGTGGAATAAAAGAGGCACTGTACGTCGCACCACCGTTTAAGAAACGATGAATCATAACAGTGTGTAACAGTCGATACACGACGTTTTGACAACGTATGTATGTAATGGTACTGTAACGGTGTGAAATAACGTTATAAAATGACGTCATACTAATGTTGCGACAACGTTGTATCGTGACGTTACCAATGTACAAACGGAAACGCCGAGGAAACGTTGTGTGTTAGCTTGGCACACACACTAATGACTTGTGCGGGGCTTGTGCTTGTCACTAGAATATTGCACAGGGCTCAGTTGAACCATAAATGCACACAATTCACAGTCATATTTTATGGTGTTTTGATTACATTATAGATCCACCAGACCAGCAAAAGCTCGAAGCTTCATGTATCAGTACAGGGGTATTAGCAGGAGCTACAGTGGGAACCTTTCTTCTTACCCTGCTCATTGGAGGGACTGTTCTAATTGTGCTGTACCGAAAGGGGTACAGAGTTACAAACATTCTGAAAGGTACATAGTATAAGTACAACGTATGTATTTTTATAGTTTCCATCCACAGTAATTCACAGAAAAGGCATTTGTCTCTCTCCATTTCGTTTATGATGTGACACGTTGATATTTGTGAAGTGTGTTTCACACTCTATGACATATTTACTATTCCTGTTTTCCAGGAGCTGCACAAAAAAGGTAATCCATATGTCAATATAGTTCGATGCAACATCGCATGTAAAACTACGAAATTAGGTAGTAATTCCCCTATAACTTGCAACAGGTTCACTAAAAAATATATTACTTTTTATATTATGATGTTTATCTCCCGATTGTTTTATTTCAAACCTGACCTGATGCTGTTTTGTCGCTCCAGACATCCTGAACCTGTGGACATGGACAACAGAGGATATTCATCTCTAGGTATGTACTTGGTGTTGGATGTTCCCCTCTAGTTGATATTACAACCATCTCTAGGTATGTACTGGTTGCTGGATGTTTCCCTCTAGTTGATAGTACAACCAAATCTGGATCTGTTACTACTAAACCAGTGCAATGTGTTTCAGATCACATCACGGTTCCAGCGCAGTATTCAAATGTGGAGGAGGAATCAGAAAAACAACAGTACACACAGTTGAAGATTTATGAGAACACAAAAGGTAGGGGCATTTTGCTTCATATTGTTTAATCTTATGTTTTCACATGGATGTATTGTCAGCTTGTGGAAGAGCCAGTACAAAGAATTGAGGTGTAATTTGTATTTGGAGATACATTATGCAATTAATCTTATCTTCAGCGGAAGCTGCAGCAGACACAAGTACCTATGAAGGCGTGACAGAGGCTCCCCCTGTGACCTATGAGTCCATCAGCGCATCGCCATACCAGAACACTGGGGCACATCCTCCAGGTAACCAAACCATAAAACACTCTTGATGATTCTAATCGCATTACATCGTCATCGATCAACTGTGTTCTTAAATGTCTCAACAGTAGTAACCCAAAGCATATGCTTTACCTTCTGTTCGAGTTTAATACGTTTACTTTATGTGATATGTTCAGTTGATGTGATATTTGTATGTTTAATTACCTTGACTTCTGTACATTTCAGGCCCTCACGAATGAAATACGCACAAAGTCAACATCATGCCATGAGTTTCAGCTGCGGACACACAAACACGACGTTCAGGACAGAGCATTACTTTGCTGTGAGACAGGGCGTCCTTGTTATTTGCTTTATATTCACATTACTTCACAAGATAAAGTTCCACATGCACATTTACTGTTAGAATTACAAATCATGTTAGTTACGCTTATGTCATCGATGTCGAATATATATTTAATAGTGAATATTTCGCAAAGCAAATAAGCAATATATTTTCACAATGAACACAAAAATCCATTTGGTGATTACGTGGACAGATGTACATAAACAGAGACAGAACAGTATAACTCCGATCTACCAAGTATGTCATAATATAGTATTGTAGCAACATAGGGGGATCAGTCATGATTTAGGGAGGTGTCATCTCCAGTCCGTAACATCTGGGTGTGCTGTGACTTGAACGAAAACGAACGATTTCATCGTGCCACGGTCGGTAATACCTACTCAGAGCAGGATACCATTGTCCCATGGAGTGGCCTGTGCTGTCATCAGACATCAGCTCTACTCAACACATGTGGAATACTGCCCTGTCCATCCAACGAATTTACAAGAACTCGTCAAAGTTCTCACTGACTTGTGGAACAATCATCCTTCGGGAGGCCAAAGACGGTGATGATAGGCTGTGGGGGGTATATATTTTTCAGTTTCTGTCAAAACTTTTACTTTTGAAAGTGATCTGACTCATAATTGTTTACATGTTCTTTGTTTTTGTTCGTTTTTTGTATTTTTTGTATCCTTAACCTATCTCACGAGGGATTGTCCTTTGCTGTTCGGTAGATGCACAGAATATGATACCCGTGAAGGTCCGGGTTAGAATAATGATCTTCAGTAACCCATTCTTGTCGTAAGAGGTGACTAACAGGATCGGGTGATCAGACTCGCTGACTTGGTTGACACATGTCATCATATCCCAATTGCGCAGATCGATGCTCATACTGTTGATCACTGAATTGTCTGTTACAGACCGCCGCCATATAGTTGAATATTGCTGAGTGCGGGGTAAAACTAAACTCACTTACTCACAGAATATGACTGGCTGAATCTGTGAATCTCAACAAACTGTGAGTAGTATAATATATGCAAGTGATTTCAGCTGAATTAATTTGAACAGACAGTGTGTGTAATTTCCAACAGTTGTACGACTGCCACAAAGCAAAACTTGATTTCACGGACGGATATCGGTTTAACCAATTATTTTCTTCAGAGTTGGACGGGGCTCCGACCGGTACGACACAACGGCTATGCAAACCTGTCCTTCAGTTTAGGAGAATCTTCGAGACTATATTTAGCACAACACTGACATCATCCTAGACACCTAGGGGAATCGAGGAAAAGTCAATACGTTGAAGTAGTAAATTAGTTACCGCCAAAGGGTAAATAACAACCCAAGAACATTAAATATTTCACTCTTTAAGCCTTAAGTATGCCAATAGCCGGTCCTTCAACCGGAATCAGCGTTTACTGTAGGGTGTATAATACCAGACAACAACCAGGAAAACTCAGCCTGTGAAACAACCCGCGTAACCAACACAACCGGAAGTTTATCATTCATAACAAATTGGTGTATATTTTTCTTATACAAAAAGCTACTAGCAATTATCAGGACAAAACAAATATATCAATTAACTTTGTAAACACCTGCCAGGAAAGAAGTGAGGAGGTCAGGGTGAGTGTTCAGACCAGATTATCATATAACTGACTTTGATTGTGACCAAAACAGGATTCCGTACATGTCATTGTGTAAAATGAAAGAAGGATGAGGTTACGGTGATCTTTGTGTTACCTGAAGTCACTTGGTGATGATGTGACATACCTCGACTCGTACTTACTGTGGTGTGAATTGGTGTTCCGCACGTCCACCAGAATATTGCAGACTGGCAGCATATTGGCTGACGTCAATTACCCGAAGTTGTTTGTGACATAAACCAGATTTGTGACATAATCTGCCGCCACACCATCGTGGTTCCACATCTGTGAATGACGAGGAGCTGTTTATCTCTACCAGTGTGAATATTGAGTATATATTATTGAATATATATCATATATAATGAGTGTACATCAAATATAGGTTAATATGGTTTGGAGGTTATATTATATATTTTTGCCAAGATGGATATTGAATATATGCCGAGTATTGATTATACCTGTCAATACTGACTCCAAGCAATATTCGTTTTGTTTTCATCGTGTTTGAATAAACGGTAATGTTCATGGTTCTGTGTGTTTCTCTGCCGACTGCAGGTTACACCGAACGACCATGGATCTGTGCGCATGTTGTCAGGAGAGACATCAGACTGAGATCGCCATCTCGGTATTCGTTCCAGGCTGCAAAGATACGCCTCTGGCTCTGTGTAGCTTACCTCATCAGGCGGGAAATCAGAACACCGTTCCGCACTAGTCTGGTCTGAAGGTTCACCAAGTCGGCTTCTGACTTCAAAACTTCGGCCAGCTGGTATATACCAAGCTTGGGAGAGTTGGTCTTCGTCTTCAGTCGCAAGTGTCATCCTGGAATATAATGATACCATTGTTTCATTAGTTTAATGTACCAAATGTATAAAACATTTAACTTTTTGTATAGATATTCCTTTTTCTATCAATTGTAATAAAAAAAATAAGAATACACTATTACCTTCAACATGATTATTTGTGCGGATGGTCACCTTGAAGACTGGATACGACTTTGGAGTGAACATGTCATGTTGGATCCACTGGCGGTCAACGTAGTCTACGAACTTCTTAAGTTTGGTGTTGCATTCAGCTTTGTCGCACAACTTGTAGACTGACTGACTGACTGAGTTTAGTTTTACGCCGCTTTTAGCAATATTCCAGCAATATCACGGCGGGGGACACCAGAAATGAGCTTAACACATTGTGCCCGTGTGGGGAATCGCACCCGGGTCTTCGGCGTGACGAGCCAACGCTTTAACCACTAGGCTACCCCACCGTCCCACACAACTTGTAGAAGATACGTCCAATGTCTGTGGCGGGGAACCCTGCAGTGAATATCCAGGTATTATGCTATGTCTACACAGACACATTTATACATTCAACAAAGCTCTTCTGTCATCTAACACCACAATCTGCATTCTACTTCTCTGAATACCCGTCTGAATGGCACACATCAAGCTGTACATATCCAGCCAGCATATCAACACAACAGGAAGTATAATTACATACACTGTTCACCAGTGCTAGTATCTATTTCTTGTGTCACTAGTATTGCACACCACCAACATGTCCATGCTGTCTCTCCGTCTTATCTTCACAGTTGGGACTCTACTGGTGGACATTCCTCACAAACAACGGGGTAGGTACACGTATGTCTAAAACATGTTTAAGTTGTAAATGCATTAAGGGTAGCGCAACGAATCTCACGCCTCAGGTCCCACACACACAGTCACCCAAAATAGAACGAGGAAGTATATTGTACGTATATGTAAACGGGTAGAGCAGGTCTGCAGCTATATATCTGTACCGTTGATAACATACAAAGTGGCCTACACAGAGAGTGTAATAGTTACCTGTACCGTTGATAACAGACAGAGTGGCCTACGCAGAGAGCGTAATAGTTACCTGTACCGTTGATAACAGACAGAGTGGCCTACACAGAGAGAGTAAAAGTTACCTGTACCGTTGATAACAGACAGAGCGACCTACACAGAGAGCGTAATAGTTACCTGTACCGTTGATAACAGACAGAGCGGCCTAACCAGAGAGCGTAATAGTTACCCGGCCGTTAGTAGCAGACAGAGCGGCCTACACAGAGAGTGTAATAGTTACCTGTGCCGTTGATAGCAGACACAGTGGCCTACACAGAGAGTGTAATAGCTACCTGTACCGTTGATAACAGACAGAGCGGCCTAAACAGAGAGTGTAATAGTTACCTGTACCGTTAATAGCAGACAGAGCGGCCTACACAGGGAGTGTAATAGTTACCTGTGCCGTTGATAGCAGACAGAGTGGTCTACACAGAGAGCGTAATAGTTACCTGCACCGTTGATAACAGACAGAGTGGCTTAACAGAGAGAGTAATAGCTAGGAACATAATGCAAAATCGAAGAAATAATGAAAATAATGTGATACCTTCAGACAAACCGAGGTAAGATTCAGACTCAACTTTCGAATGAGTTAAACACCTGCTTCCTAAGATTTAGGATAACAAGAATAATGCTTAAGTAGATGAGTGGGGTTGGTTTAACGCTGGTTTAAACAGTAAGTGAGTCACGGCTTGGTGTGTCATGTTGATGAAGTTGGAATGACAGGATGTATGCACAGCGTGGACATTTAGCTTGGTTAAACACAGGTTTGGTGCTGACATACCAAGACACATAATGCAGTAAACCGCTGGCGTTTGAACCCCCAGGAATGTTTCCAGCACACCAAAAAGGGACGCAACTCCGCAAAGCGAATTCTGGTGTCGTGGATGACTGGGACACATGTCCCTCTGCATCGTGAAACAATATGACACAAGAAATGACGTCAGTGAAAACAACAGTGCTGAATTAGTTGGATAAGTTGTTTACCGGAGAGAGAAGATTTTGTCTATATAGTCATGTGTTGTTATTCTGATGCTGAAGTCTTTTATTTCCGTAAAGATTATGTCCATGCAGTTGTCATCGTTCTGTGAACTTTCAGTTTCTGCCCAGAACTATCAGCTGACGTCATCATGTGGAGGTTCTGTACAGGCAGGAGGGAACTGTACCTTGATGTGTTACACAGGAGAAGCTTCACATACAACTATAGTGTGGCAGAATGGAACTTTATTATACAGAGTAAACCAGGGTAGCTGCAGCTCCACCTCCCTCCAGCTCCCAGCTGACTACACCACCTCCTGCCCCAGCTCCACCAACTACAACCTCACCATCAACAACGTCGTGTACGGCAGGGATAGACTCAGATGGAGCTGTGACTATCAGTTTGGAGGCAGACCGAGTAACCAGATACAGATGGATGTTCTTGGTAAGTTTGTCATGCTGACATTTTGTTAAATTTTTCTGTGTGAGGTGGATGTCAAATCACCCGTGTTTTCAAATCTCAACACTCAATTGCTCAAACCTGTAGTTTCATACTGCAGCTGTGCTATTATTGTAACTTCCTCTGACCAACGTTACCATGTCCAGAACTACTGCATCTATCGCCTGTAAAGCTGTTTAGTTCTGTTTTCTGACCAGTAATACCATCACTTGAAACTATTTCATCTATCACCTGTATCTTTCGACTACCACTAATCTACACGGTGACAGCATACTTCATAATGCGGTGTTATTATTTCAGTTCCTCTGAACAGTGTTACCCTTACTAGAACTACTACATCTATCTCCTGCGTCGCTGTCTCCAATCCACCGCCGTCCATCACGTTGTACAGAGACGGGGCTAGTGTGGCCATCAGCCCAGCAGCAGTAGAGGGATACACTGGCTGGACAGCCAACATCAACTACCAGCTGACAGGTAACAGTAGGAACTCCCTGTACTACTGCCAGGCTTCCAGCACACAGTCTACAGTCAACTCCACATCATCCTATCCTGGCAGTAAGTAATCTGTATTGCTGTATATATAAAAGTGTGATACCCAACAGCAGGAACTTCCTGTACTACTGCCAGGCATCAAACACAGAGACGAGTGTGAACTCGTCATATTCCTTTCCAGACAGTAAGTAATATGAATGTCTGTTTAGATAGCAGGTTGATTTCCTACAGTACGATGTTTCTATACTATTGCCAGGCAACCAACACAGTCTAACGTCAACTCTACCTATTGTTTTCATGACAGTAAGCATATGTTTTGATATACCCTGAAATGTCATGCGTACTGTTGAGATACCTTTAGTATCCCTTCGGTATTGACGGGTATGACCGGTATCTAGGATATTACCTTTCCTTGTTCCATTTCTATCCAGTTGCTGTCAACAGGGTGTCACTAACAAACATCACGTCAACCAATCAGGAAGTGGGAGCTGCTGAGGGTCAACCCTTGGCCTTGACCTGTGTGACCTCTGCCAGTTACCCTGCTGCCACAATCACGTGGTACAAGAACAGTGTTCTGGTGAAAAGTGGGATATCTGTTGATCACACACCCCAATCAGGTGTTGTCCAGACTACAAGTACAATGACTTTCAACCCTGTCAGAGGTGACCTTGGTCATACAGTCTACTGTCGCGCCACCAACATCCACAATCCCTCCCCAGTGCGGTCTGACAGCGCCCGGATAGGAGTGTGGTGTGAGTTGTATATTAGGTAGTAATTTAGTTCTCATGTCAGCCAATCAATACTGAGTGAATAGAGTTGTCCATATGTATAAAATGACACCGTTGATAAATTAAGAAGACCAAATATAGTTTGGCTATACATTATGAGAGTAATTGCGGTAGATATTTACCTTATGTTGACGTGCATGTATACACATAACAGACTGTCAATACTAATGCAGTAACAGGACCTTCACCGCCGCCACAGATTATTGTGCTGTATTACAGTCGGTCCAGAACAGGTTGATGTGACAAAACCAGACAACTCAGTAGCTGTAGAGAACACAAACCTGACCTTGACTTGTACTGCCTCCGCTTACCCCAACGTGACCTTCACCTGGGACTACAGTGAAGGAACACTTGTAGATGGCAGCACGGGGTCAGTGACAGGATCTTCTACCTGGTGGTACCAGACTCTCACCTTCAGGCCAAACAAAGACAAGACAACCGTGAGATGTCAGGTCAGAAACACCAGGACTTTGACAACTAAGACTGGTTCTGTGTCACTGGATGTCAAATGTGAGTAATCTTAGGTATTCTCAGTGTTCCCTTTGTATATTCTCATTCTGTTGATGTGCATCGAAAGACCTCCTGGAATTTTCAGAGAAATATAAACAGGGTTGCCTAGGAGTGTTATGCAGAGGAGTTATCACTCTTGGATACATTGTGCATCCTACCGGATGAAGGGATTTCTTTGGGTGTGGAAATACCGAGCTAATTGTATTGAGATCAGTTTGGTCATGGGCTCTGCTGTTACATCTGTACTTTTATTGGTTGATAGTTGCTTACTTGGTTGTTCATGTTTCAGATCCCCCGCCTGTCCCTCCTTCCATCACACAGTTTCCGGATGTGATGTTTGAAGGAGACACACAGACAATCAGCTGCTCGGTGACAGGAGGAAATCCTCTAGCTACGATCACATGGTCCTGTCCTGGCACTGGATCAGCATCGGTCAGTGACAGTGGTCAGACCAGGACATCTACTCTCTCCTTTACTGTCAGCAGGAGTCAGAATGGTCAACAGTGTCAGTGTCTGGGGGCGTGGCAGTATGGAGGATACAACTTCTCTGATGTCAGGACATTCAACGTCAGCTGTGAGTACCGTTAACTGTTTCTTGAGGCACAAGTCTATAATTTTCCAAATACCGACACGTATCTAGAATAAGACTTCCATGGGATGGATCCCTGACGTTCGTGGCCATGCCATGAAAAGCCAGGAATACCATGAATCTTAAAGGGAAATGTGTTTTTCATTTCTTGTGTACCGATCCTTTGTCGCCCAGTTTCTAAAACTGATCTGACATGTATTAGACACTAAATTGAAGGGTAGATCATTGGTTTCGAAGATATAGGTGTACGATCTCCTGCCTGATATTATGCCGAGGATATAGTAATATGTAATCAGCCTTTCAAACCGCGAACTATCCTGTGTCTGTAAAGTAAATATTGCAGTTCCCATCTACAGATGAATACGTGTATGTGTGATACTATTTGTATGACATTTTGGACGATGTGGAGTTTAGATGTAGAGGGAATCGTTATAAAGCACATGGCACAGAAAGAACAAACAGCTTCAAATGCAAGTCAACTCTTTCTTTACGAAACAAGATATACGTCACGTCTTTATCATTTTATGCTGCAGGTCCCTCAAACCCGGAACCGCTCAAAGCCGACTGTAACATGACAGGTGTAATAGTAGGCGCCACAATAGGAACCCTACTTGTTACTTTGCTGATTGAAGGATTAGTTCTAACGGTTCTCTACAGGAAGGGGTTTAGGTTTGGAAACATTTTCAAAGGTAAATTTCAGTAGCATTTGAAGTAGAATAGTGTTGTGGAGATAATTACAGAAGGGATGTTTCAATTCACACTGTTATTGATAAAGATGAGTGACATTCGTGAACTAACAAGTTCACATTGAGCTCATCCTGTAGCTTGAATCTATACACAATCAATAATGACAGGAACCGTTTTTCACCAATGACTACTTAGATGGAGGGTGTTGTTTATTAAATTGTTATCCTTTCATATGTCTCATTCTTCCTTTCCAACAATTCCTAAATGCCAAATTCGTCATTTGTGATGTTTGTATTTCGGCGTACTAAATAGGTATTCTCTCCTTTCAGGATCTGCTTTACCAAAAAGGTAGGCTAAGCATGTAAATAAAACGTTTTGAAATCATCTGCTTTGAGATAACGTACGAAGCCATTTATAGTCAGATATAAACATCAACTATTTAACTCGTTCCTTTCCATGGTATGTTCAGTAATCGACCTTACCTGCCTTTGTAGCACCAGAAATCCTGAAACTGATGAAATGGAAAACACAGCAGGATATTCATCCCTTGGTAGGTTCAACATTTCTAGTCAGACATATCGAGATGGCCACTGACAGGGAGATGTGCTGATACCGTTAATATATGTTCATGTTTATTTGTTACAGATCACATCAACAGTTCAGCTCAGTCCTCAAGCATGGATACAGGGGGTTCAGAAAGACAACATTACACACAGCTGAAGGTTTATGAGAATACTAACGGTAGATGGACACAGTTTCTTACATTACTATAGCATTCAGTCATAAGTGTAGTGAAGGTATGCCGTATTTCAGGAATTATATCTATCGTTGTGTTTACGTTTGGAAGGGTATACAATATATGAAAGGTTCTTGGGAAATGTCGTGGTTTTCAGTTGAGGCCAAAGCAGAGGCAAGTACCTACGAAGACATGACAGAGACGCCTCCTACACCATACGAGTCCATCAGTGCATCTCCATACCAGAACAGCGGCTCTCAACCTTGAGGTAACCAATATTTTGGTTATCAATAATCATGAATAAAGAAAGCTACAATAATGAACTGTACACAAGAATCAATGATTATTTTCCGACAGACACCTAAGTTTCTGTTTTCTAATATAGAATGCATTATTTTCATTTTGACATGGCACATTCTGTGCGATAATAAGGTGACACATTTCACTGGTTTTTTTTCAGATCCTCACTTTTGGGAATGTGTGGGAAAAAAACATCTGACACTTGGATGAATATGACTGCTTAAACTACCTTTTGTCCACAGTGAAAGACACCTTATAATGTGTTTTGATCTATACCAGATGAATTTACGGGAGGACATGTAACTATGAAGGATTGACCCAACATCCAATCCCAATGCGAGTGATCTTAACTTACTTTAATCCAATAGATTGCAGATTTAAAACACAAAACATAGCAATATCTTATGTCACATGACATTGGAATCTGACTGGTTGACACTAACTTTCTTGCACAACCTTGTGTTCATATTGAGGTGATACCTTATAATGTTTATTACGTGTGTTAAATCCGTAACATATGAGTTCATGTGAGGAGATGTCACAATGAAGAATCTCATCCAGCAAGACATATTGACCCAATATCGCATTTGCTTCAGCATGTTAAACATCTAAATGTAAGTACATTTACCTTACCGAGGCTCGTGAAGTTCTAACACCCACTGTGTATGGCCTATCTTGTAGGAAATCCTGTCACACAGCTAGCATAGCCCACTCAAAGGAACATAGCATAGTATAGCATAGGAACAAGTCAATCACACCACGCAGCCATCTGACGTGAACCGCTCTCACTGTAAGGAAACATACACACGGCTTTATGTTGTACATACTCAACCGCATTTGAGGAACGTATGCTGGACATAAATAGCTATGTTGATATGTCGTCTGTTTGTATCACAATTTTCTCGCAATGAATATTGTGTTGATAGAAAATAAAGTTTGTTTTCATGCTGAATATATATCGCATTATTTGTGCCAACTTCACTTTTGTCGATCCGTAAAGATCCGGATGAGAGCTGATCTTAAGTAACCAATGCTTGTCGTAATACTAACGGGATCGGGTGTCGTGGTTGACATATATAGCTGAAGTGTTGCTGAGTTGAGTGAGGTGTAAAACTAAACTCACTCACTCACGTTTGTCGGTATTTAGACAACATTTTCTAAAATATGCATTTTATAAGTTTCACTGTTTCATTGAACTAGAAAGTTTACTCCGATATCCACTGCACCAAATACACACGTATCCATCCCTACTGGGACATTGCCTGCTATGCTAACAATTCTACAAAAACATATTATCAGTAGTATCTTACACTAAGTAATATATAAACACGTGTTTAAAATCGTTGTTTCACCATAGAAAGTATAATTTATATATCTGCAGATATATGTAAACACCATACAACATATCTGTTTACAACTTCAAAAACACTTCCGTAAACTGCTACACAGACCCGATAGGTTTGAAATCACTATGTCATAATCGGTCGTTTGAATATCATGTCAACAGATATCGTGAGACTTTTTGTCACTCTTGGAATACTTCTGAACAAAAGACAGTCAGTCGTCTATATGTGCGTATTGTAAGCCGAGGTTGGTTATACGGATCCACATTATTCGTGTTTTGTATAGGTCTTTGCAGCAGAACAGAACGTTGAACGTGAGTGCAGTGAACTTTCCGAATTAGTTACATTCTTATTGCAAAGAAATCGTTCAGAACTCGTCTACCAAACATGAACATACACCAGATAGTCCCCTGTGAGGGAGTCTAAAGTAACACATGTTATTAACAAATGCAACAGACGTGCTGAGTATTCAGTGATGCAAAGGGTCGAGTGGTGGATAGTGTAAGACTTCATTACACACTTTGTGGTGAATTGTCAGAGTTGCTTTGTTACTAAAGTGCCAAGTACAGGCTATTACCAGATCTATTGAGGAACTGCGGAGGATGACTCTTGATTTCTTATTTGACTACCATGTTCCCATTGTGGTGATAGTTTGACACGGCAACATTAAAAAAATGACACGACAACGCATCACAGATGATCAACAGGATTAGATGTCATCAAACAACATGGTGACTAGATAAACACTGTGGTGGCTGGTTGATAACATCTTGATCTGAGGCCCAGTGCACAGTTTGTCCATCCGCACATCTATATCATAGTAGGAAGAAAACAATATTTTTGTTGATATAATATGACAACATAAACGAAATATTGTCGTCTATAAGACAGCATGGGCTACTTATAAATATAATCTTATGTACGTATAATATATTAACCAGGTATTAATTGAGTGAATTGTTCGTTTAACACAATGACGGCAGACAGGAGAACAAATAAAGTTAATAAATAGATATTTTAAAGCTTGTTTTGACCGGTCGGTGATAAACAAGCATCTCGATAATGCATTTATCAAATTGTGTTTCCAGTTTATATTATTTCTTTGGTGACGTAGAGGGAAATTGTAAGAAATGATACATATATGTATGTTCAGAACCATCAACATCGACAATATATGTTTAGTTTAATCATACATGTTATCATGTTTTAGACTGTTGCCACTTGACAAATAAATGGAAGCATGTAGGAGTGAAATGAATTTCTGGACCTGTGTACTACTGCTCTCGTCGGTTATGCCATGTTGTTGTAGACTGAATCACAGATTCACCCAGGTATTGTTCCTCAGCCTTAAATCCGTGTACATACGTTTCTGAGGACAACAGAACATGGGACTTTCCTTAAGCTGACATTCTGCGTTCACGCTCAAAACCCAGATATTACGTGTTTGTCCTAGAACGACACAACTGTTCCATCAGACAAATGAACTTTCAAATGTTTCTTCTCTCATATCGCCTGTTAAAATGTTGTTATAAACTGCTCTACTGCAGGACACTCATCAAATTATTTCAGCAATGTAAGGGTTAAGTCGTTGAAGAAAAGTTGATACTGAAGACTTAATGTCTATTGGCAGTGAACCTGATACTTCTGACAACAAGCTGACACATTTACGTTGTCACCTCATAGTGGATCAAGGCCTCAGTAAAACACTGTAAATGTGTGGATCTCCAAACATAATACATGTACAATGAATCAGAGACTGAATATGTACACATACCTATACACCGTAGCCTGTCTATCAGCTACCCGGAAGTAAATTGGTGTTGTCAGCTCTACAAACATCGCCTCTTCCTGTGCATGACGGTGGGCTGCAAGCTTTAGTCAGCGAAATGTGTCGACGTGTTTTTCTGGAGTTGATTCCACTACTTATTCTGCTGGATACAGCCCGGATACGTCCTTGTGGTAGGTACACATTGTCACTTATACTGAATGTTGTCTGTGTATAACAAATGTTCTCTAACCTGTGTGGACCTGTGCACCTCTTGACTGCATTGACAGGACACATAACTTCCATGCAAACCTTGTGTTGGAGATTATCTACTTTGACAGGTGGTTTTCTCTCTAGCAGATCCGACTTGGCAGATAATACCATGAATCTGGTCATATTTCTTGTCATATGGCTTTTGATACGCAAGTATCAACACACAAGCCTCAACACTCTGCCCTGAAGAGAAACGGGGCTTTCGTTGTTTAGAGTTACCTCCCTTAGTACACTGCTCAAAGAGTTCCCCCGATAAGGACTCCCAGATCTGCACAGTGCCTCTTCTGAAGCAGGGCGATTGCCAATAATGTGACTGGGAAGATATTCAATGCGGTATTAAATCCAACTCATCCTCAAGTGATAATCTTAATGGTGTGAAAAAAGATCAATATTTGCAGAAATATACATTAAGCTTAGGAAATATATTTGATTATTTAAAACCAAAAGAGAATAAGACGCCGACAGCCTCTCTGCCATACTAGGTCTTTTAAGTGAAATCATATCAAACTTAAAGAACAGACGTTATTGAAATAATATATGTTCTATACAAGCACAAGGTATCGTTTCTGATGGAACTTTGAAATTGAGAAATCAATAACTGAACTACATCGAGTGTACATATAACAACATATTAGAGGCACCAGCGACGTTGTGCTGTTCCTTATAAAAACATAAACATATATAACACCTGCATTACTGTCCCCAATATCAAATTGACACATCCAAACGGCACACTGTTCAAAACAGTGTTATAACATAACAAGGTCATTATCAACATGTAAAACATACAGTCTACGGGCCACACTGTTTCAGAGTCAGCTCCGGTTCTTGCCACCAACAGACGTATTCCTGTGGAGGGTGTCAGTTTCAGCATCACCTGTACACTAGAAGCAGCTATCAGTGGAACTACTCGCTTCTTCAAGGGTCCTACTTCTACCAAGGGAGGCTGCTCATCATCAGGCAGGTGTGGGACAGCTGTGTCAGGATACAATGTGAGTCTGGACAGTACATCAAGGATCCTGACTCTAGACATCGCATCAGCAGATTCCACCAGAGACAGTGGGACATGGACATGTAGTGATGGGGCTACAGCATCTAACAGCATAACACTGTCACAGTTTGCAGGTTGGTTTTAAGTGTATTAACAACGTGTTGATAAATGCCAGCCAGTTAACTGTGAATGAGGTTAGAAATTGTGTTTAATTTGCTACGTCCAGGCATCACACATCTCTCCAGACGATACGGTGTTAAACATACACACACATCTCTCCAGACGATACGGTGTTAAACATACACACACATCTCTCTAGACGATACGGTGTTAAACATACACACACATCTTACCTGACGGTGTTAAACATACACACACATCACGTAGTCCTGGCTAATGGAACGAGATAACTAAATATCAAGGCTTCATTCTTCACATTTGATATGTTTGTGGTTTATAATACCATTGTTAACGTACTGTAAAGGCACCTAAAGCTGAAGGAATGTTGATGAAATGTCGCGTTGTCGCATTGAGGCGTGTCGCGCTTTGTTAAAATATTGACTATAGTATGTATTATAACGTATTGACTAAAACGCGACGACGCGTTGTCGCATTGTCACGTGTCGCGTTTTAGTGTCGCGCTTTGTTAAAAACAATTTTTAATTTTTTTATTATCACTTTATAATGGGTACATAATTTACGCGTTTGTGGTACATGCAAATATTATATAACAAGGACGTGGGTGGTAGATAATCCGCCGTAGGCTATAAGAATACATTTGTTGTTGCAATTTGTGTGAAGAGGTTATGGCAAGATGACCAAAATGTAAAGAATTTACCATAGTTGCAGTGCGAAAAGGCAGCACTTTTGTCAATTTCATACAAGGTGTGTAGATCATTTTTAATCCAATTATCTGTGGATGCGAATTGGAACATCTCTTTGTATACATATAGTATTTTGTTGCGATGATAATAAGGTTTAGTACATCGTTTCTTTTTTCTTTATATCCAAAGATGATATGTTTTCCATCCAGAGTTAATTTTGTGCCTGTTTCTTGTTCAGTCCAGGCTTTTAGTTGCTGCCACAACGTTTTCACATGTACACATTCACAATATACGTGGATAATTGATTCCATTTTAACCTTACAGAATGTACAAGAAGCGGATTGTGTCAGTTTATAGTTAAACAAATCCTTGTTTGTTGTAATGATTCTTTGGACAATTTTATATTGAAGCCATCTGAATTATGTATCACAAGTTGTTCTGAAAGGTACATAGTTAAAACTTTCCAGAGTTGTTCTGATATATCTACGTTGATATCCCTTTCTCATTTAAGTTGAGTATTTAGCTTTTCTTTTAATGTATGTTTCCTTAGCAGGACAGAGTAGAAAATCTTGCACCCTTTACGTTCTTTATAGAGCATATGTATATTATTAGGAATAAATGGCTCCTCTACTTTACACAGGGTTAGTTCTTTCGAAAATAAGTAGGATTTTATGGAGTTAATGATACCCCTATATTCTAAAAGAAATTGTCTTAATATTATATAGGGAAATAAACTCTTCATAGGAAAGAAAATTACTATCTTTTTTCAGTAGATCATTAATGAATTTAACATTTCCCTTCAAGCAATGTTTATAAATAATAGGTTTTTGACGTACGGTAATATTGTCGTTTGCCCATATATACTGTTGTGAAGTTTCCGTATCAACCCATCATTTATTTGTAAAGATTGCATATTTGCCCACGCTTACGTGATCATAGTATTACTGGATATGTAAAATCACATGACTATGATAAAAATAAAACTGAATGTACCCCATTACCCATCCCACTCCAACTCCAGATACAGCTACAGCTGTTTTATGTCATTGGAAGACGGACACATTATGGAATATAGATAGACGGAATCAGATAAACTGTTGATAGAACAACACCATGATAGTTGTAGGTTGTTAAATAATCATGGTTTAAAAAGGAGATTAAATATCTTTACATTTCCCACATCTTGTGTTAACCACACATATTCAAATCCAAGTCTAAACAGAATATTTTTAATATGAGTAGCCCATGTGGTACAGCCAGAGTCATCCATTAGGTAGCATTGGCAGTCTGCGTTCATCCAAATACAGAAGCCTGCACCAATATTTAATAGCCCTTATGGTGTTGAGAGGGGCTGTGCCACATTCCAATACCATTGCCCCAAACCATACCATTGGTTTGAGAAACCATTTACACATTTTATACTGAACGTCTTCCATAGCTCAATAATAATGAGGTGCCATATACTTCTGCACCATAATACACTATAGGAACAATCATAGCACCATTTCACGGCTCTGGGAGAGATATCGCCGGCAGAATGCGGTAGCAGATGCCCCTCGTAGTAACGGTCATGTAGCAGATCTATTCTAATATCACCAGGGTTAGCATGCTCAAAATGATCAATATAGATGTATACCAAATGTATACTCTGATACTTGCTTCAAGCCATAACAACTACAGTACTCAGGACAAGTTTCATTGGTAAAAGTCACAAATAGTAGAATGTACATCTGTCTTAAAGTTCATCTTCAAATATAATTATGTACTTTTAAGGCAATGTATGTATTTTTATGGCAGTGTATTAGCATGCTGATCATACTGTGTATTTTTATATATTCATTTTAGTAAAATAGTGTGTCAAATTCATTGTATTCAGCAGTATAATTGTGTGTATTTTTATGTACAGATCATTTGATTCCCCATGTTTATTTTAATCATAAATATTTCTGAATAATATTGGTAAAACCTTTTCATTTTGTTTTGCAAACCGATTCAGACAACATTCTTCGAAAAAAAGTGTGTACATGGATGGATCTGTTTACAACTTACAACTTATATGTACCAAAGATACGGAATATATTTTTCTGTATTATGCTACTGAGAGCCGACAATTTCACAAGCACACCCGCAGTTCAAAAACAATGGTTTGAATTTTATCAATTATATCCTCATAATACACTATAAAAGAATCAGATAATAAATGTTTTTTTCAGTGTCGAAGCGTTAGCGCAGCAGACCCTGGGAACCAGGCTGAGCCGTTTTCTGTTTCCGAGTCATTAAAAATCCACGGAAACTGTCGATGTTTATCGAAGAGAGGCCCAACAGTGATTCGAACCCCTGTGGTTACAATACATTCTATAGTCAATATTTTAACAAAACGCAACACGCGACAATGCGACAACGCAACATTTCATAAAAGTGTCGCGTTGTCGCATTGTCGCGTGTCCCGTTTTAGTCAATACGTTATAACACATACTATACTCAATATTTTAACAAAGCGCGACGCGCGGATATGCGACAACGCGACATTTCATCAAAATAGCATTGTCGCGTGTCACGTTTTATTAGTTACGGCGGATTTAAAAACTATTATAAGCATGATTATTTTTCTATGTTTTTAAAGGGCTGAGTTATCCAGGGATCGAACAGAACAATAATAAATGAACGTCCATGTGGCCGTGAAGTCTGTGGGTTAAGAGTCCTTGGTTAATGGAATGGATGTATTCAAACTGGCCATTTTGCTGGAAATTATTATGATTTAGTAGGTGTGTGTTTGAAACGATACAAGTACATGTGTATCGCTGGGTAAAGTATCGTATGAGAAAATTATCGATATACACTAACGTCCAAAAGAAACGATACAAACAATATTTGGACTATAACATAAAGAAACAACGCATAATGTTTGAAAAGACACTTGGAGACCTCTTGGAGAGCCTGAGCAAGCTGCTGTCTGTTTCTTGGAAGCACAGGTCGTGCACGCACTTGTCGACCCAAATGGTTCCAGATATGCTCAATGGGTGACATGTCAGGTGGCCGAGCAGGCCAAGGCAACACGTTGACGTTATTTCTTTGGAGGAAATCTGTGGTAACACGAGCTGTATGTGGAGGGGCGTTGTCCTGTTGAAATATGATGCGGTTTTGGTGTTGTTGCAAGAAGCGCAGGACAACTGGGCGCAGTATCTGGTCGATGTACCCTCGAGCGTTCAAATTACCAGTCACCACAATGAGATCTGTCTTCACATCACCACAGATCCCACCCCAAACCATGACACCGCCTCCGCCAAATGGAATCACCTCCTGGACGCAGTTACGTTGGTAACGTTCGCCTCGTCTTCGATGGACTCGAGCCCTACCATCATTATGGATTATGAGGAACTTGCTCTCGTCAGATAACATGACCCTTTGCCAATGCCTGTTCTGCCATCGTCGAACGGTGCGTGCCCACTGCAGACGTCGACGTCGATGTTGATGCGTTAAAACGACGCCACGTGATTCACGCTGCACGCGGGAGCAATTTTCATGCTTTAAGACAGTTAGCACGAAAACGTTGCGCCCAAACCCAACTATTTTCATGATTCTTGACTGTTGAATTGAGGCGATTGTTTCCATGTCATATCTAATCAAAAATATACATTTTTATTCAGAATATTTATGCTTTTAATTTTGTATCGTTTCTGTTGGACGATAGTGTATTGTGAATCATGGCATGTGCATGATTAATACTATAGGATTCAAATATAAAAACAGACATCACAACAAATTATTGTAATGAAATACCTTGCTAATTTACCAAGCTCCCTAAACCTTGAGTGAGTGAGTGGAGTGGAGTGGAGGGGAGAGGAGCGGAGAGGAGAGGAGCGGTGCGGTGCGGCGCGGAGCGGAGCGGAGTGGAATGGGGCGGAGTTGAGCTGAGTGAAGTGGAGGGGAGCGGAGTGAAAGGAGGGAGGGAGGGAGGGTTGGTTTCTGGCACTCCAAGAGTACGCAACTGTGCCAAGCGATTTCATCGTTTCTAATATCATAATGATAACAGTCCATTTGTATGACGCTTTCCCAAGAAGAATAGCACTTTCAAAGCCGACCTAAACTGTCTTTGAGGTGCTGGATGGTTAAGTGATATTACCATCTCATTCTACCTGGTATCCATCCACTGCTGGCTGAACAGAGGCAGATCTTCGACAGGACTGCGTCGGACAGGACTGTACCAAGAAACTCTGTCAGGAGCCACACTGTCGAACATAGTGACCCATTCGAGGATTTCACCTGATGTTTATGCCGATGTGGCCTGAATTTTAACAATATTTAGTTTTTCACAACCTGCCAGCTTGATATCGGTGAAATGTCCAAAGTGATGAATGTGTATGGTGCTGGGATTGGAACCTATATGATCATAGTTATCTGGTTTGACTAAGAGACACAACTCTGCACAGCAAATTGCCCCGCCTTGAATGACAGGGCCACCGTGTGCCGTGATTACAATGAATAGTAGCGCTAATAATTTGTCTTGCTGCTCAAACACACTTGATTGGCTAAATACAATTACAGTACATAAAATAATAAAGCAACAATGAAAGATGTGCATTAAGTTCAAGAAAAGCAGCCCCAATTGCCATTACGAGCACTACTTCATTTTCAAAACCATCGGAGGTAACAAAAGACCAGTGAAGTCTAAAATAGAGAATAACATTTTCTGCGCATGCTTAAACTAATTGACATTTTTACACATGCGCACCAATAATCGAAAAGGGCGACAACGCGACAATGCGACATATATTTTGTCGCATTGTTGCGTGTCGCGTTTTAGTCAATATGTTATAACACATACTGTACTCAATATTTGAATAAAGCGCAACACGCGACAATGCGACAATGCGACATGTCATCGCATTGTCACGCTTTTGCCTCATTTTGTTTGTATTTGAGAGGGCGACAACGTGACAATGCGACAACGCGACAATGTCTCTTCTAGGATTCCATAGTTTACATAGGAAACATTATCAGTGCATCAAGCTCACAGTAGTCACGTCATCCTGCACAGATGAATTGAGGGACTGTTAAAAGTGAACGTTTCCGTGTTGCAGTTTAGTCAATACACTGAAAACATGACACGGGTTATTCATAAAACTGTACTAGTCAATCGTGAATCGGGACGTTGGTTACCAAGGGCACGCACGTTTCATTACGAGGGTAGACTCGAATGGACTCATATGGGCGTCCATTCCTTTGCGACGTCATTTAAAAGTGTACTTTATCGCCGATATGTCAGCGCCAATACTCTTTTAGCGAAGTATCTAAGAAAGACCTTTAAATATCTACACCAAATTATATTTATATGTTTCTTATCAGCTGTACTGGACTGGAGCTCTGTCACTTTCTCTCCACAACTGACTTCTCTCCCGTCCTCCGTGACACCGCAGAACACCATCTCCGTCACTGTCGTCACTCCGTGTGCTGCCCCTGCCGCCGTCATCACATGGAGATACCAACAGGTAAGACTCTTCCTACAAGTACATTCCTCCCAGCAGTACACCTTCCACCCAAGGATCATGTCCATCAGGTCAGGTCCAGACAACCAACACTCAGTCTCTACCAGGGAACACAGTCAGTCTAGTATCTAACTACTGTTTGGTGTTTACAGGGTGTGAGTGGCGTTCCTACCAGCAGTACATCTTCCACCCAAGGATCATGTCAATCAGGTCAGGTCCAGCCAACCAACTCTCTGTCTCAACCAGGGAACACAGTCAGACTATCTAAATACAGTTTTGTGTTTACAGGGTGTGAGTGGCGTCCCTCCCAGCAGTACACCTTCCACCCAGGGATCACGTCCATCAGGTCAGGTCAAGACAACCAACACTCTGTCTCTACCAGGGAACAGTCAGACTATGTAACTACTGTTTTGTGTTTACAGGGTGTGAGTGGTGTCCCTCCCAGCAGTACATCTTCCACCCAGGGATCAGGTCCATCAGGTCAGATTCAGACAACCAACACCCTGTCTCTACCAGGGAACACGATCAGTCTATCTAACTACTGTTTTGTGCTTACAGGGTGTGAGTGGCGTCCCTCCCAGCAGTACATCTTCCACCCAAGGATCATGTCCATCAGGTCAGGTCCAGCCAACCAACTCTCTGTCTGTACCAGGGAACAGTCAGACTATCTAACTACTATTTTGTGTTTACAGGGCGTGAGTGGCGTCCCGTCCCTCCCAGCAGTACACCTTCCACCAAGGGATCAAGTCTATCAGGTCAGGTCAAGACAATCAACGCCCTGTCTCTACCAGGGAACACAGTCAGTCTACCTAACTACTGTTTTGTGTTTACAGGGTGTGAGTGGCGTCACTCCCAGCAGTACATCTTCCACCCAAGGATCATGTCCATCAGGTCAGGTCCAGCCAACCAACTCTCTGTCTCTACCAGGGAACACAGTCAGTCTATCTAACTACTGTTTTGCGTTTAGAGGGTGTGGGTGGTGTCCCTCCCAGCAGTGCATCTTCGACCCAGGGATCATGTCAATCAGGTCAGGTTAAGACAACCAACACCCTGTCTCTACCAGGGAACACAGTCAGACTATCTAAATACAGTTTTGTGTTTACAGGGTGTGAGTGGCGTCCCTCCCAGCAGTACACCTTCCACCCAGGGATCACGTCCATCAGGTCAGGTCAAGACAACCAACACTCTGTCTCTACCAGGGAACAGTCAGACTATGTAACTACTGTTTTGTGTTTACAGGGTGTGAGTGGTGTCCCTCCCAGCAGTACATCTTCCACCAAGGGATCAGGTCCATCAGGTCAGATTCAGACAACCAACACCCTGTCTCTACCAGGGAACACGATCAGTCTATCTAATTAATGTTTTGTGTTTACAGGGTGTGAGTGGCGTCCCTCCCAGCAGTACATCTTCCACCCAAGGATCATGTCCATCAGGTCAGGTCCAGCCAACTAACTCTCTGTCTGTACCAGGGAACAGTCAGACTATCTAACTACTGTTTTGTGTTTACAGGGCGTGAGTGGCGTCCCGTCCCTCCCAGCAGTACACCTTCCACCCAGGAATTATGTCCATCAGGTCAGGTCCAGACAACCAGCACCCTGTCTCTACCGGGAACACAGTCAGTCTATCTAACTACTGTTTTGTGTTTACAGGGTGTGGGTTTCGTCCCTCCCAGAAGTACATCTTCCACCCAGGGATCATGTGCATCAGGTCAGGTCCAGACAACCAACGCTCTGTCTCTACCAGGGAACACAGTCAGTCTGTACAACAGGCAGGTGTCTCTAACTGTCAGTGTGGAACATGACTCCTTTGATCCCCCGACGTATACAAAGTCTGTCACTTCAAACACCATACAGTTCCCTGGTGAGTAGAACACTGGTTTAAAATTATACCATCAATTACCTGGTTGGTGGTTAATCCTGATGCGACCCTTTGAGGTGTTGATATTAATTTCACTAAATGATTATGGATATGTTCGCTTAATCTTTGTGTAATGTGGTCTAATGTATGTTAATGCATGTATGGACGATGATAGACGGAGACAAGTATTTGCCTTGAAGTAGTGATAAGTAACGAAACAGTTCTAATCTATAAAATATGCAAAACAAAATATTCACTCCCGACTCCGGCTTACGTTGAGCCTACGTTGTTTAGAAATGACGTTTCCTCGTTATATGATAATTCTTTCTGTACCAATAATTCAATTGTTGACTGCATGTATATTGAGTCTCAAGGGAAAAGCATTGAAAAAGTGTCTATTCTCTTGTTTGTTGATCAAGCAACACTTTTTCATAGAAATATATATGTTTGAAATGGAATCCACCTCATGACATATTCTTCATTAGACCATAGCATTGCAAATCAAACATGCTACCGATGTGACAGTACATTGCTGTTAAAGTCAGTTGTTATTACAGTTCAACTTGCTATTCCAGTCCCAGTTACCTCAGTGACACTGACAAACATCAGTTCTGATAATGAGAAGATAGGACTAGTGGCAGGTCAATCCCTGACCTTGACCTGTGTGACGTCAGCCAGTTTCCCCACTTCTACTGTGAGCTGGGTGACCTTGCCATCAGGAACGGCACCTACAACCAGCACAGAGACGACATCTGGTGTCCTGGTGAAGACAACAAGCTCCGTCACATTCACTGTCAGTAGGAGTGACCAGGGGAGGAGCATTCGCTGTCAAGCTGAAAACATCAACGGTCAGACATCCCCACAGTCTAACATAGCCACACTGGAGGTTTGGTGTAAGTAGACACAGTCTAACAGAGCCACACTGGGGATCTGGTGTGAGTAGACACAGTGTAACAGAGCCACAGTGGAGGTTTCGTATAAGTAGACATAATCTAACAACAGAGCAACACTGGGAGTTTGGAGTAAGTAGACTCAGTGTAACAGAACCACACTGGAGGTTTGGAGTAAGTAGACACAGTGTAACAGAACCATACTGGAGGTTTGGAGTAAGTAGACACAGTGTAACAGAACCACACTGGGGGTTTGGTGTAAGTAGACACAGTGTAACAGAACCATACTGGAGGTTTGGAGTAAGTAGACACAGTGTAACAGAACCACACTGGGGGTTTGGTGTAAGTAGACACAGTGTAACAGAACCATACTGGAGGTTTGGAGTAAGTAGACACAGTGTAACAGAACCACACTGGGGATCTGGTGTAAGTAGACACAGTGTAACAGAACCACACTGGAGGCTTGGTGTAAGTAGACACAGTGTAACAGAGCCACACTGGAGAATTGGTGTAAGTAGACACAGTGTAACAGGGACACACTGAAGGGTTGATGTAAGTAGACGCAGTCTTACAGAACCACAAAGGGGATTTGGTGTGAGTAGACACAGCCTTACAGAGCCACACTGGAGGTTTGGTGTAAGTAGACACAGTCTAACAGTGACAAACTGAAGTCAGTAGACGCAGTGTAACAGAGCCTCATAGGGAGTTTTGTGTGAGTAGACACAGTCTAACAGAGCCACAGTGGAGGTTTGGTCTAAGTAGACACAGTGTAACAGGGCCACAAGTGAGGTTTGGTCAAATTAGACACAGTCTAACAGGGCCACAGTGGAGGTTTAGTGTAAATAGACATAGTCTAACAGAGCCACAGTGGAGGTTTGGTGTAAGTAGACACAGTCAAACAGGGCCACAAGTGAGGTTTGGTCTTAGTAGACACAGTCTAACAGGGCCACAGTGGAGGTTTGGTGTAAGTAGACATAGTCTAACAGAGCCACAGTGGAGGTTTGGTGTAAGTAGACACAGTCTAACAGGGCCAAACTGAAGTAAGTAGACGCAGTGTAACAGAGCCTCACAGGGAATTTTGTGTGAGTAGACACAGCTTAACAGAGCCACAGTGGAGGTTTGGTCTAAGTAGACACAGTCTAACAGAGCCACACTGGAGGTTTGGTGTAAGTAGACACAGTCTAACAGGGACAAACTGAAGTAAGTAGACGCAGTGTAACAGAGCCTCACAGGGAGTTTTGTGTGAGTAAACACAGCTTAACAGAGCCACAGTGGAGGTTTGGTCTAAGTAGACACAGTGTAACAGGGCCACAAGTGAAGTTTAGTCTAAGTAGACACAGTCTAACAGGGCCACAGTGGAGGTTAAGTGTAAGTAGACATAGTCTAACAGAGCCACAGTGGAGGTTTGGTGTAAGTAGACACAGTCTAACAGGGACACAAGTGAGGTTTGGTCTTAGTAGACACAGTCTAACAGAGCCACAGTGGAGGTTTGGTGTAAGTAGACATAGTCTAACAGAGCCACACTGGAAGTTTGGTGTAAGTAGACACAGTCTAACAGGGCCAAACTGAAGTAAGTAGACGCAGTGTAACAGAGCCTCACAGGGAGTTTTGTGTGAGTAGACACAGCTTAACAGAGCCACAGTGGAGGTTTGGTCTAAGTAGACACAGTCTAACAGGGCCACAAGTGAGGTTTGGTCTAAGTAGACACAGTCTAACAGGGCCACAGTGGAGGTTTAGTGTAAGTAGACATAGTCTAACAGAGACACAGTGGAGGTTTGGTGTAAGTAGACACAGTCTAACAGAGCCACACTGGAGGTTTGGTGTAAGTAGACACAGTTTAACAGGGCCAAACTGAAGTAAGTAGACGCAGTGTAACAGAGCCTCACAGGGAGTTTTGTGTGAGTAGACACAGCTTAACAGAGCCACAGTGGAGGTTTGGTCTAAGTAGACACAGTCTAACAGAGCCACACTGGAGGTTTGGTGTAAGTAGACACAGTCTAACAGGGCCAAACTGAAGTAAGTAGACGCAGTGTAACAGAGCCTCACAGGGAGTTTTGTGTGAGTAAACACAGCTTAACAGAGCCACAGTGGAGGTTTGGTCTAAGTAGACACAGTCTAACAGGGCCACAAGTGAGGTTTGGTCTTAGTAGACACAGTCTAACAGAGCCACAGTGGAGGTTTGGTGTAAGTAGGCATAGTCTAACAGAGCCACACTGGAAGTTTGGTGTAAGTAGACACAGTCTAACAGGGCCAAACTGAAGTAAGTAGACGCAGTGTAACAGAGCCTCACAGGGAGTTTTGTGTGAGTAGACACAGCTTAACAGAGCCACAGTGGAGGTTTGGTGTAAGTAGACACAGTCTAACAGGGCCACAAGTGAGGTTTGGTCTAAGTAGACACAGTCTAACAGAACCACACTGGAGGTTTGGTGTAAGTAGACACAGTCTAACAGAACCACACTTAAGGTTTGGTGTAAGTAGACACAGTCTAACAGGGCCACACTGGAGGTCTGGTGTAAGTAGACACAGTCTAACAGAGCCACACGAACGGATTGGTGAAAGTAGACACAGTCTAACAGAGCCACACTTAAGGTTTGGTGTAAGTAGATACAGCATAACAGGATCACACGGGAGCTCTGGTGTAAGTAGACAAAGTTTAACAAAGCCATAGTTGAGGTTAGATGTAAGTAGACACAGTCCAACAGAGCCACATTGGGCCTTTAGTGTAAGTAGATAGAGTCTAACAGGGCCACGTTTGAGGTTTGGTGTAAGTAAACACAGTCTAACAGCGCCACACTGGAGGTTTGGTGTATATAAGTAGACGCAGTCTAACAGAGCCACAGTGGCGGTTTGGGTTAAGTAAACCACAGTAAGGGCCACAGTGGGTATTTAGTGTAATAGACACAATATAACAGAGCCACACTGGAGGTGTGGTACAAGTAAACACAGTCTACCAGGACGACACTGGAAATTTGGTGTCAGGAGACATAGCGTGACTCAATGCTGCTGAGCTATACTGGAAGTTTGTTGAATGAAGACAGTCTAACAGGTCCCAACTAAAGATGCTCCGTGAGTTGAGACAGTCTCACAAAGCTCTGAGGAAATCTGCCAACATTGAGGATTTGTTCCATGTTTGTACACGTTTTGAGAGCAAAGTCAAATTTAACGCAAGACATCAGCTTTAACTGACGTTGTTTTAAGATATAGCATATGGGTATAGAGTATGTTTACAACGATGAATGATAACTAGAGAAAATAGTGAAGTAAATATCTACAAATAGAGATCAAAGCAAGGTGCATTCCACTGAACTGATTGTTAACCCTGAGACCAACAGTTATTCGTCATGAGCGAGCTAACTGTAAACTTTGTATACTGTGTATCAGACGGACCAGACACAGACCAGGTGAGAGCTACAAAACCAGCAAGCACTGTGGTAGCAGAGGACCGTGACCTGACCTTGACATGTGAGACCTTGACCACCGTGTCTCCCGGAGTGACCTTCACCTGGGACTACAGTGACGGGTCGGACATTGCAGGAGGAAGTACAGGATCTGTGACAGGATCAGTGAGTACCACGTGGTCACAGACTCGGACATTCCGTCCTGTCAGGAGCAAGCCAGATGTCCGATGCAGCGTGAGAAACACCAGGACAGCAATGGTCGTCAGCAAGACTCTGTCACTCGGGGATGTCAAGTGTAAGTTGATTTCGCGTGTTTGAATGGACCTATGTACATATACCCTTACACCTCTGTGATGTACGTATAAACTTACATTATACTCATCTTTGGATCCTTCAGACCCACCTCCAGACCGCCCTACAGTCCATGAGTTGACCTCTGTGATGTACATATAAACTACATCATACTCATGTGTTGATCCTTCAGACCCACCTCCAGGTCGTCCTACAGTCCAGGATTTCACCTCTGTGATGTATGCTGGAGTCCAAAAGACCATTAGGTGCACAGTGACGGGGGGCAATCCTCTGGCCAACATCACGTGGTCCTGTTACAACACCAGCAACACCGGCAGTGTGTCCAGCAACGAGGGAAACAAGACATCCTCACTCACCTTCCTGGTAGCTAAACACCAGAACTCCAGACAGTGTCAGTGTCAAGTTACGTGGATGTATGGAGGATACGATGAGACTGTGACACAGACATTTACTGTGTATTGTGAGTATTGGGGCAGATGTACAGATACATAAGATACATACGATGAGACTGTGATATAGACATTTGCTGTGTATTGTGAATATTTATGTATACAAATACTGGGCTGTTTTGTTTGAAGATCTCTTCACGGTGGAGAGAAGAAGGATTCGTCTCTGGGGTTGAATGGTGTACCACACAATCACCCTGCAAACTCCAGCCTTGGTACTTCGTGTAAATGAGGCTTTTTTCCCACCCTGTTCTTCGTCCCCAGACCTCGTCAATGTATCACACTGTATATATGTATTACAGATCCACCCGACAAACCCACCACAACCAACCCTGGTACTCTGTGTCTACATCACTGACCTCGGCAATGTATCACACTGTATATATGTATTACAGATCCACCCGACAAACCCACCACAACCAACCCTGGTACTCTGTGTCTACAACACTGACCTCGGCAATTTATCACACTGTATATATGTATAACAGATCCACCCGACAAACCCACCACAACCAGCCCTGGTACTCTGTGTCTACATCACTGAACCTCGGCAATGTATCACACTGTATATATGTATAACAGATCCACCCGACAAACCCACCACAACCAGCCCTGGTACTCTGTGTCTACAACACTGACCTCGGTAATGTATCACACTGTAGATATGTATGTATTACAGATCCACCCGACAAACCCACCACAACCAGCCCTGGTACTCTGTGTCTACAACACTGACCTCGGCAATGTATCACACTGTATATATGTATAACAGATCCACCCGACAAACCCACCACAACCAGCCCTGGTACTCTGTGTCTACATCACTGACCTCGGCAATGTATCACACTGTATATATGTATTACAGATCCACCCGACAAACCCACCACAACCAGCCCTGGTACTCTGTGTCTACAACACTGACCTCGGCAATGTATCACACTGTATATATGTATTACAGATCCACCCAACAAACCCACCACAACCAACCCTGGTACTCTGTGTGAAGGAAAGTCTACATCACTGACCTCGGCAATGTATCACACTGTATATATGTGTTACAGATCCACCCGACAAACCCACCACAACCAACCCTGGTACTCTGTGTCAGGGAAAGTCTACATCACTGACCTGCTCCTCATCCCCTGACCTCGGCAATGTATCACACACTATATATGTATTACAGATCCACCCGACAAACCCACCACAACTAACCCTGGTACTCTGTGTGAAGGAAGGTCTACATCACTGACCTGCTCCTCATCCCCTGACCACGGCAACCCTCCGGCCACTTTCTACTGGACAAAGAACAACACAGCAGTCCACGCAGGCAGCTCCTACACTTTCTCTCCAGTGAAGGCCGACAACGGAGCTGACATCAGATGTGCTGCTGGTAACACCTACACCGACAGAGCCGGGTCCTCACGTCCACAGTCAGATGCCAGGCAGCTCAGTGTATATTGTAAGAGTCATAACTCATTCAGGCACAGGGATAAGATTTTCTGGTCGTCACATGTCAGTGTGCGAATGTACTTCATGAAGCCCAGAAAACTAAGAGAAGCAGCATATTACGTGGTAAAGTGCATTATTTTGAATATTGTTTTTCTTCCATGTTAACCAAACTGAATGCAAATACTACTTAAACCCCACTCAGACCTGTGAATAACCCGAAACGCTTCTGGTAATCTGTCAGATGTGGGAGCACCATCAATAACTCCGGCTGCTACACAGACCAGGAAGGAAGGAGAGAGACTGTCTCTCACATGTTCAGTTGATGGTAATCCTGACAACGCTGTCATCTCCTGGACATTCAATGGTTCCCCTATACCAGGAAGTAGTGTGATGAAAGCCGACTTGAACAGATCTGATGATGGGGAGTACAGCTGTACGGGGAGGGTCAACACAGGCAGTGTGTGTCCTGGTGGTGGACTCCAGGGGAGGTCAACTGTCAAGGTCATTGTCAACTGTGAGTACAGATAGTGTCTGTATATATCACTTTAGCTAACGCAGCAGAGACGTCTAACATGGAGGTTTTCTGTCAAGGTCATTCTCAACTGTAAGCATGAATAGTGTCTGTGTGTATCACTTTAGCTATAACAACACGGATGTCTGCAAGGTAGGTAATTGTTAACTGTGAGTACAGATAGTGTCTGTATATATCACTTTAGCTAAAGCAGCAGAGACGTCCAACATGTAATCATGAATAGTGTCTGTGTGTATCACTTTAGCTATAACAACACGGATGTCTGCAAGGGAGGTAATTGTTAACTGTGAGTACAGATAGTGTCTGTATATATCACTTTAGCTAAAGCAGCAGAGACGTCCAACATGTAATCCTGAATAGTGTCTGTGTGTATCACTTTAGCTATAACAACACGGATATCTGCAAGGTAGGTAATTGTCAACTGTGAGTACTTAGTTAAAACAGCATAAATACAAAATGCGTGTTTGTTATGTTTTCTGCAATTTTGATTAGCTGACGTGGAACCAACATTTATGGCCAGTTTTCGATAACTGCAAGAAAACTGAGAACGGTGTTGTATTGAGAGGTTCACCTTGTGAAGCAAGGTACAGAAACAGAATATACAGATATAACACCATACAGGCACTCCTGACCCGTACAGGATTTACAGGACTTGGATGAATCAAGCAGATAGTGTTGACACCCTGAAGTGTTTTAAATTCAGTATCAATTTCGTCCGAAATTCTTTGAATTCTGGTCAGATGGTGGCCAGAAACAGTCTGACAGAATGAAAGTCAATGAATGGCAAGTGTTCAAACACAAACATTCATGAGGACAACATTTTAGTTTCGTTCAGTATACGGTGTAGCATTTTGGGATATATTTTCAGATCCTGCAAGTATAAGTATGATGACTGCCAACTCCCGCAGTGGGTCAGTGACAGTCAATGAGTCTGACCCAGTGACCTTCGGATGTGAGTTGGATGATGCTGGCAATCCAAGGTCAGTCATCAGGTTACTGAATAGATCTGACGAGTTGACAAGGGTAGATAACTCCCTGACAGCAACATACAAACTGGAGTCTGCAGACTGTAGACAAAGAGGGAACTACTCCTGTACTGCCACTAACAACGTCGGTGCACCTGTCAGTCAGATGGTGGGGCTGCTGGTCAAATGTGAGATATTTCTGAGCAAATCATCTGTGTGCAGTACAAATACTACAACTGATATTTTGAGTGGTAGAAAAAGTAGCAGTGGTGGTAGTAATAACAGTGGGTTGACACGAATCATGGGTAGTAGTAGCAGTAGTAGTAGTAGTAGTAGTACTAGTAGCAGTAGTGGTAGTAGTAGTAGTAGTAGTAGCTGCTTAGCAGTTTTAAAAATATTCTTTTTGCGTCATAAAATTGGCAACACACCGTTACTTCTAGCAACATGTACAACCGATATAGACTTTAAAAATGAGTCCCAGTCACTTTTCAAGATCTTGCTGAAAACACACTTCTTCAAGATTGATTTTGAATAGAACTCTTTCTGCACTTTCTGTGTTTTTAACGATGTATGCAGAGTCTTTGAGCATCTCTTATGGAAACTATCCAATTATTATTATCATTATTAAATGTATGTTCCTTATTTGTATATTAAGAATGCGCTATCAAATGCTGGACATGACAGTTACCACATGGATATTTATCTTCCCTTTAGTCATTAAGAAATACTTTCTGTAAGGTTCTCCACGTGTTGCTGGGACAGTTTTTCTCCCACTCAAGTACGCAACAAGACTAGGTGGTGACGTGATTGTGTCTGTGTCGGTCCTGGCCTACCCCCCTTCCTACATTCACCTGGAATAGATCCATCAGCACCAGCCAGGACCTCACTGGTTCCTCCAGCCTTGTCTCAGACATCTCAGTCACTATCAGACTACACCTTACTAACCTCCAGGAACAGGACTTCGGGGACTACAGTCTGACAGTGGACAATGGTGTGGGCGGGTCAGTGACATACACTGTCAGCATAGTACCTTCAGGTGAGTTGCCGATCTCCGATTTCTCATTGATCATTCAAGCTTTCAGGATTTTCAGATAACTAGATATAACTGTCGTTTGATGTTTTACGTTCACGTTAGTTCCACAACTACTAAACTGCAACATTCTAACATGAAACGAATCATTTTCTGATTAATTTGTTGCAAGGACCACCAAGCACACCTACACAGTTTCGAGATCTGGATAATGCAACATCGTCGTCGGTATGGCTGTCGTGGCTGCCTGGATTCAATGGTGGACAACCTCAGACGTTTCTGATTGAGTATCGTCGGTTTGCTACACGAACGTGGACTGTGTATAAATATTATGATGACAGAGGCGAGGCGATGGTTGTAGAAGTGACCGCTCTTACACCAGGAGAGATTTATGCATTTCGACTACAAGCTAGAAATGACTATGGGGATTCTGACAGATATGTCTTTGTAGAAACTACGACTGCAGGAGGTAGGATTCACTCTAAATATATCATGGAAAACTCGTCAGCTGCAAATGATGAAAACGTATGAATCCATTCTAAGAACAACTTCCTATTTCATAATTAGATAAATGAAATCCGTCAAGATGTTGGCAATTCTTCAAGTGTTAAGTGTAATGACTGAACAAATATGAGTATTAAGTAAAATAGGTAAAAATATTGGTAACATATTATCACAGTATCACTTATCTCGTGGTAAATATGATTTTGAACAATTAACGAAGATTAGAACGAATAGTTTTGCAAATATTTGATGAAGTAATCACATGGTCTTTGCAATCACAGTAGGCATGTAATTATGGGTTTAGTTGGCAAGTGTGGGCATGAAAGACGCCAGGAATGAGCTCCCTGGAGAACTTGGGAAGAATTGCCTTCATGAATCTATGTTTATTGTACACGACGATTAGCTGGTTCTGGTGGTGAGGGTATCGTGCCACTGCTTGCCTGGTCGAATATTTACAGACGGACGTCATGTCACCGGTACAGTGACGTACGATTAGCAGGATATGTCGACTAACTGTTCCTGGCGGTCAGACGCGCTGATGTGGTTGATGCCAGTTATCATGTCCACATTAAACATATAGATGGCAATGAAGTCAGTCCTTGACGGTTTGAACATTTACAGACCGAAGTCATGTCACTACAATATTGCACAGGGCTTAGTTGAACCACAAATGCATACAATTCACAGTCATATTTTATGGTGTTTTGATTACATTATAGATCCACCAGAACAGCAAAACCTCGACTCTTCATGTATCAGTACAGGGGTATTAGCAGGAGCTACAGTGGGAACCTTTCTTCTTACCCTGCTCATTGGAGGATCTGTTCTAATGGTGCTGTACCGAAAGGGGTACAGAGTTCGAAACGTTCTGAAAGGTACACAGTTAATTTCGTGTTGATATATGATTGAACACAGTTTGCATGCAGTAGGTCGTCTCCATGAGGTATGCTCCATGACAAAGCCTACACTATGTGAATCACTGGTTGTCACGATTGTACATGGTGTCTATAAAGGGGATTTGTACTACCAATGTCTGGAATGCATCTATGGTTATATCTCCATCTACAGTAATTCACATTCAGAGAGAGAACTTTATCATTCTCTCTTCCGGTTACGTTTACGACTGATGTCGCATGGTTTTGTTTGTGTTTCACATCCATTTGTGCTTTTATTGTTTTCCAGGAACTTCACGAAAAAGGTAATCTAAATGTCCAAGTTCAATGACAGAATGCATCGATCAGGTAAAACTACGGAATAAGGTATACTTACAATATGCAAATTCAAACCATATTTTACATTCTTAGGCGTATGATCCAATTCCTTTGTTTAGTTTTCCAATTATTGCAAACTTACCTGTTGATTTTGCAGCTCCAGTCATCCTGAACCTGTGGAAATGGACAACAGAGGATATTCATCTCTAGGTATGTACTGGCTGCTGGGTGTTTCCCTCTAGTTGATATTACAACCATCTCTGGATCTGTTAGCACGTAACCATTAGACTGTGTTTCAGATCAGATCACTGCTCCAGCGCAGTATTCAAATGTGGAGGACGAATCAGAGAAACAACCGTACACACAGTTGAAGATTTATGAGAACACGAAAGGTAGATGCTTCATGCTCAATACCATTGAATCTGAAGTTTTTACGTTGGGGTGCTAGTGAAAGAAGGAAGCTAAGCAATTGATTTGTTGTTGAAATATGTTATGAATCTCATCTTCAGGGGATGCTGTAGCAGATACAAGTACCTATGAAGGCGTGACAGAGACTCCTCCTGTGACCTATGAGTCCATCAAGGCATCGCCATACCAGAACACTGGGGCACATTCTCAAGGTAACCATGCAACACTCTTTGTGATGGAAATCTTCATCATGAATACACAGTGCCATTTAGAAAGTGATCAAATATTACATATGTTGTACTTGGGATTACACTTTCTCCTTAAGTACAGATTCTAGAGTTTTTGCTTGGTATAGACCCATCCAGGGTTGGCACCCTCAACAGCAGTAACTCAGAATATGCCTCTCACCTGGTTCAGAATGATTCGTTTGTGTTATGCTATATATTCAGTTGTTATCATACGTTCCATTGCTTTTGTTCTGTGCTTTTCAGCTCCTCAGCATGGACATGACTAACGAAGCCGACGGGTATACACCATGACATCAGTTTCCAGTTGCGGATAAAGAAACACGTTCATGACACTGCATTACTTTGCTTTGTGACGAGACAGAACGTCGTAATTTTTCAGTTTTTCCATTACTTTGTGTTTGCTGGATAATGACGTATCGACTGTGAAAAATCAAAACATCTATCTTGACCAGCCAGTGAAATGTTGGTTAACTCTTATGTCATATTTGATCTACAAGCTATAATATAAGTCATGATTTGGGGAAATATGAGTAGAGCAGGAATAACAAGAACTCCAGTCCTACAGCAGTCAAAATGATAGACAAGAGCCAGGGGAGTGTCATTCTGGGTGTGTATGTGAGACCTCATTGAGCCTGGATCGTTGATACTTGCCAAAAACAGGAGACCATGATCCCATGGTGTGGCCAGTCCAGTAATTAGACATCAGCTCCAGTCCAAGGATGTGGACCGCCCTGCAGTGTGACCCCCTCCCGAAACTACGGACACTAACCACAAAAAAGGTCCAAGTAGGTATTTAGTCACCGGCCAAAAATTATATTGTACAGTCGTCAGCCATAGAAATACAATCGGGAATCTTCAGTCGTGATCTCCCCTTACAATCACTTTTGCGGTTACCTATGATCTAAGTATGTTTGATTTAGAAAACTCATACCGTTATGTTACCATGTTGACGTTAAGCTTCAGAGCATCACTAATAAACACAACATGTCAAAAGAGCTTCGCAGCATTCATCATCGTATACGACCTTGAACTTGAAGGAGATTATCCAGCCATGGATCAAGTGGGTGTTGGTAAATAATGCCAATTAACCGATGCAATCTCATGTCATGAACGTGCAGCTGATTCATTGCAGATCGTAAGAAACTACACAAGACTCGACGACTCCATCGTTGACTCTTTCATGTATGTGTGCACTGTGCATATTGAGTGTGAAGCCAGATTTGTGATACAATAGTATAATAATCATCATCTCATTGCTTCTTCCAATTGTCGTCGCAGAAAGATGCGCACTTGGGATCTCAGTCTTTGGTCGAATTTCTAATGATATATCCATGCAACTCCCTTGTACCAGCAGCGTCCTTTATAGTGCTCGATATCAATTATATGCAATCTCTAAGTGAGTAATGCAGACAGTACTGCACTCGTCCTTGTTAGATACAGCCTGTATGTCACCGCGTGAATATAAATTGAAATATTGTCGCCAATAAAAGTTAATATCAACCGGGAACTCGTTCATTAGTAATCGTTATTACACATGATCCGCCACAGCGGTAATATGACTGTAAGTGCCAAGTGTACAGGCCAGGAGGCAGAGAGTGACCAATAAATTGTGGACCTGTTGAGTCCATTAAATAAATGAGCAAACAATTTGAAGCATTCATTTTACAAAATATAAAACAAATTTGCAGTTCTTTACATAAATGTTTTCCCTACACGTCTGGTTCCATGTGCTCATTTTTAATTGATCATGTTCATAAACAAACCATATATCTGTGTTTTCAGTTCCGGTTATGAGCTGCATTGCACTTTTGTATGCATATATACTGAGTCAAAAAAGAAACTTCGCATTCTTTCTTCAGGGCACTATAAAAGAACAAGAGATGGTAAGATGGTTAAATTGTTATTATTTCATTGCTGAGATCTGTGTGATGTACTCGATACACTGACAGTGCCATAATCAGTTCCATTAGCCTACACCGCCGTTCTAAAACATGGGTATACAGAATGTCAAGTCACAAGAATAAAAATGCGAAATTTCTCAGTTCAATATCGTGTATGGCCTCCCCGCGCATTCACCACTGCCAAACACCGTCTCCTCATCGACTGCCTGATGCTTGTGAACATATGGTTGGGGATTCTGCGCCATTGCTCTTGCAAGCAGCGCCAAGTTCCTGCAAATTCTGAGGTTGGTTCCTAAGACCACAAGACCTTCTCCCAAGTGCATCCCAAACGTGCTCTATTGGATTAAGGTCAGGGGACCTCGATGGCCAGTCCATGACGTTGATTCCAGCGTTTTGAAGGACATTTCGTGTCAACATCGCGGTATGCGGCCGAGCATTATCATGCTGGAACTGTAGACCTGGCCATGAGCCGCCATGAAAGGAACGAGTTCAGGGGTGAGCACTTGGTCGCGGTAAGCAGCAGCTGTGAGGTTTCCACGGATGACCAGAAGTCGGGAACGGTTGTTCCCACAGAAAGCACCCCACACCATGCAACTTCCGCCCCCGAATCTGCCGACTTCCTGTACACAACATTGGGCATACCGTTCACAACGTCGTCTAAAGACTCTATGCCTGCCGTCCGCGAATCTGAGGGTAAACCTGGATTCATAGCTAAAGACGACTCGATTCCAGTCTCTCTGGGTCCATCGGAGTTGACGTTGGGCCCACAGCAGACGTTGACGTTGATGAAACGGCGTCAATATTGGCCCTCGATATGGACGTCGAGAATGGAGATTGGCAGCCCGCAACCGATTTTGAGTGGTCTGTGAGGACAGTCGACCTCTAAACATCTCAGCCCTTGTTCGTGTAGCCAGCAGAAATCTGTCACGTAGGTGACGTAGGACGATTTGACGGTCACACGTGGACGACCCGACCTTCGGCGATCAGAACTGGTGCCAGTTTGTTGTAGACGACCTCGCAAGTCATACACAGTACGACGGCTGCATCCCATTGCTCTTGCGACGTCAATAACTGATGTTCACGTTGCACATTTGACAATCGTGGCATTCCAAGTACAGTTAGAACTGTGGTTTAAAAGTGTTTTTTTTTCAATTCTTGAGGCCAATGCAAACACGTGCATATGAAGAAAACTTCGATTCGAAGATCACGTGATCGACTGCACGTGCAAAACCTGATTTAGCATTAACATCATTTGCACGACGAATGGATGGGTTTGAGTGGGTTTTGCTAACGTTTTTCTAGAGTAGAAGATTACATTTTGTGAAGTTTCTTTTTTGACTCAGTATAGAATCCGGATAAACGGATCAAACTGTTCCCATTATGATCTTCTCACACTCTGTGTGTTTTGTGTTCGTTTCAAACTCCTCCCTACGTATAAACATTGGAGGTTTTTTGGACACATGTAAAACATTGCATGTATGCCTAGCTTTTCTCGTTGTACAGAACATAAGCGAATATAGGGTATTCAGCTCGTATCGTGTCATTCGGTTTCACAATGATAACATGATGGTATTTACGCTGTTGTATAACACATATCAAAAGCATGGGCCACTGCATTACACGCCATATGAACACTGACAGATGTTTTACCCTTTGTGTAAGGATACCCTATGAACGTGCACTGATAACACACAAAGCCCATATATAATGTGTAGCTGAAGGCCACGGGTGTCATTTGCTGGCTGTGAAGATGTGCGGGAAAGGGTAATCTAGTGATGCTGATTTAAGAGATTTGAATAAAATTGACGAATGGTTTGCGAATGTTAGATACTTTGATGTTAGTTGTGTGATGCACTTCTCGAGATCATTCAGTCGGCCATAAGTATGAATATATTTTTATGTCTCTAAATGATCGACGGTACCTTTGTTGTTTGAAAAACGACAAGTGGCCTGAGCGAAAACAAAACTCAACAGGGCATACAACAAACACACTATTCGATAACCGCGGCAAGGTTTCTTAGTGAATGTTAAAGGAGACACTTGAGATTTGTGAGCGACTGTTGAAGGGGCACAAGGGGTGTACCATTGTACGCAACTCTCCAGTCAAGAACAAACAAGCATGTTGAGCAAACTGGGTCGCCTTGTGCAGCCTGAATCATATAACATGCTATCGTCAGAGTGCATTGAAAGCATCTGAAGCGTTGAGGCGAGATTTTCACTCCCGGAGTCCTGAAGGGACGCATTATTTGCATTTAAGAGCGTGTAAAGAAATGACACGTGACTTTTTACTTATTTGACTGCGGCCTTCTAGTTAGAAAAGAAAAAACATGATTGTAGGAACATGCCTCCTTACTGACATGTACATTGCTTTATTACCCACGTGGTCAACGTATGGGTAGTTGCATACTAATCTCGTACGTCACACGAGTGTCGTATCGCGTTGACCTGTGTCGTAACGACTTGACCTGAGATTCTAACGATTTGATTGGATAACCGATGACCTCTCAGTTAGGTCACATTGTGACGGAACTACTTGTTCATTCATAACAAACACGTGAATTCATTCATTCTACAACTTAAATGCATTGTGGGAATGTAAACATTGCGAACGTTGCCGTGTCGCTGTTTAGTTGTGAGTCAAACTGAGACATTATATCTGTCTAAAAACATAAACGCAATGTTTCCACCAGTGATGTTAGCCGAATGAAGCAACTGGAAACCAAGAAACGGGGTGCAACGGAGTAGTTTACTGTAGGAGGCTGTACGAGGCGATGACAACTGACATGCATCGTGACGTCGGTTACCATGGCAGTGACGTCATTAGTGTGACGTCATGCAAATATTGTACTACAGTACAAAACTCTTCCGCAACCTCTTTATGAAACCGGTTTCGGTTTGAAACCCAAAACATAACAAAAATACGCTATTTTGTCAATTTAAATGCATGTAAGACAAGGGTAATAAATAAAATACCACACTCGGTCTCATTACATACGAATTATACGAAACTCGTGACCTTCCTATGTTATCTGACCTCGCTTTCGCTCGGTCAGATACCATAGGAAGGACACTCGTTTCGTATAATTCGTATGTAATGAGACCTCGTGTAGTATTCTCTATATATCTGGGAGATTGTTATCCGTATGGAGATATCAACATGCTGCTAATGTGTCTATAGGAATCATGCATTGTAACCTTCTTACATTTTATGCCTGCTTCAACTGTGAGTTTCTGACGGAGGACTAAGGTCCCAGAGTTCCACCATCATCTCAGTAAAAACTTCAGTTGTACCGACTCGAATACACAAGAAACATTGGGGCCAATGCATTAAATCCGTGTTGCAAAATGACCTTGTTATTTCACTTTTTGCCTTCATTTATAAGCAACTGCACATCTGCACGTGCAAAAAGTGCCAACAAGACAAGTAACAAACTAATAATTGAATGTAATTGTGTGTAGATAAGCTTTGGTGGGGACTTTCAGTAAAGGGCAGAACAGCCATTCCTCATCAGGCAACAAAACAGTCACATGGTTCTTCTTGATTCAATAGCGTGGGTGACGGGCACTACAGCTACTGTTACACACTCACTCACCCTAGACACGGTTGGGCTATATTTGACTATATTTAGAAACAACTGAACTACATAGTTGGACTCTACATATTCCTTCCGTGTTGAGCTACCCCGTTTGACATTGTATTTACACACTCACTCACCCGACACACGGTGGAGCTATATTTGACTATATTTAGAAACTACTGAACTAAATATCATATTCCTACCGGGTTGAGCTACCCCGTTTGACATTGTATTTACACACTCACTCACCCGCACACGGTGGAGCTATATTTGACTATATTTAGAAACTATTGACCTACATAGTTGGACTCTACATATCATATTCCTTCCGGATTGAGCTACCCCCGTTTGACAGGACGACACACGGAAGTCTCGGCAGGTATGTAGAATGTATATACTACTATACTTCGTCACAACACATCTAATGTGTCAATGTTTACTTCTTTTACCATGTTGAACATGTCAATTGTGAACCCTCATTCTACATGCCAGTGTTTAGGAATAACCCACAATGTCTTCCTCTATACTCGTATACATTGACCCTGTTTCTGCTGTTACTTGGCTTCCACTGATACATATATATGTATTCTTCTACTTTGACGCACCAGTACACGTGCATATGTCACCGGTGTACAAATTATCTGGACGTGATGGATTAATTAAACACATACCATCCCGGTCATTGTTACTAGCTGAAACTGGTGGGACTGGGATTGTTCATTGGTGTAACAGCAATGCAGAGTTGTGTCCCTTGGTCCACACAAGTCGCCAGGAACATAGAACAGAAATAACCGAGATCATTCCATTTCATTTGGCGCTTAAAAGCAGGAGGTTTTACACACGCACACACGCACTTACTTACTTACTTACATACATGCTTATACTCATACGTACGTACGTACGTACGTACGTACGTACATACATACATACATACATACATACATACATACATACATACATACATACATACATACATACATACATACATACATACATACATACATACATACATACATACATACATACATACATACATACATACATACATACATACATACATACATACATACATACATACATACATACATACATACATACGTATGCTGTGGTAAGTAAATAGACACTTGGTTTACGACAGATCAAGCAGACATGCTGTAATGCGTACTGTGTGACGCAATATTCCACCACCAATATACTGTCGGGTGGTTTAACGGAAAGGTAATTCGCATATGTTCATCTGAATCGTCAAATAGCGTTTTGTTTCTACTCTTCTGTATTGCGTTTGAGACATTAACTGCGATCCCACACACTGTCATTCTGGCATTGTAAAGAAAGACAGCTGGAAAGACAGATATGTCATCCTTTACTCATATGTTATATGTCATTGCTACTCAAAACGGTGTTTTTTCAGATCTCACCGAGGTGCCGGACAACAGGAACGATGAAGATAATATGTGTTGTATAGTTATACCTTACAGCAGGTACCTATCACACATATCTTTAATGGCGCTTTCTTCTGAATACTGTAATTGCTACCTTAAATACTTGCGATAAATATAATTATATAATGCCAAATAGTGCTTTTCTCTTCTGGGAGTAACGGATGGTTCTGCATCTTGAACGATAATTCAAATAACCAAGTATTTTGGTTCCACAGGTGCGGTATCAGGTGCACCCAGTGCCAGTCCAGTGTTGTCTGCAGTGTCTTACACAGCCATGTTCAGCTGGGAGATTCCACAGGGAGGTCTGGGGACTGCATTCTTTACTGTCAGTCCTACTGGTACTGCTGTGTTCACAGTGTTTGCTGATGAGAAATTCGAGATAACCACCAGCTACAGAGACAGACTGGTGTACCAGGGGAACAGAGCAGCCAGGAATGTCACCTTCACCCTCAGCAACATCCAGACATCAGATGCAGGAACATACACGTGTGGGGATGGAGGGACCAATACTGTGATACAGAACTGTGGACAGAAACTTGTTGTGCTGGGTGAGTGGGTACTTAATTAGTTGTTGTTTATGGATGTATGGATTGATCATTATATATTCCATATGCATATTGGGATAAAACTATGTCATCGATATATTCATAATCTAACCACCATGTATTAGAATTCGATAAGACCTTTCACTCCTGGTCTAATCGATCATCACATGTATACTTTGCTCCAAACTTCACATATCCATGTCCACGCAATGCATGGACCAAAGCGCAGAATGTACTATAGATTAATTATTTCAGCAGTTGATGCATTCATTATTATTGTTGATGTTGATTATTTTGCCTAAATGTGGATCTTTGGTACAATGGTGCTGCAATTAATATATAGATGATTACACAGTTTACATATGCAACATACGACTGTAAACAATGCCGCTATATTACTGATTGGCTACATGGGAGGTAAAAAGTAGAATTCAGAATTTGATGCATCTGAGTGAAGTGCTGTCTTATATTCATGAGATGCAAAGGAACACAACAAGGCAAGTAGTTTGGAAAATACAGAAGCTCTCTAAATCTAAATACCACACCGTTCCCTATCGGACTACCCTAACAACATATTTTGACGGTAGAAGTATTTTATCAGATAGATAAATACAAACAGAATGCCTTTTTCTCCAACATGTTTAGTTCTTTAGGGAGATTGTAGCAGTTACAGTATGACATCATTACAAATATATTGTGACGTCACAATGAAGACAACATTCTAGAGCGACAAGGTCAAAGCTTGCAATGGTTTAACATTGGTTTAAACTTATCTATGAAGTAGTGGTCTTTTTAAAATTCGTTTAACTTTGTCCGAATTTTGAATTTGATAAAAGGAAATATTGTAAATTTAATATCGTTTCCTTTCGCACAGACATCTAGATGTTCACTCAGTGGGATACATCGGGTTTCAGGACACTTTATTTGTTATTTGTGGACACTAACCCGGGCTCTTAAATTTTCTGATTGGCCAGTATGCTGTTCAGTACAGCCTGTGTCCATGTTATGACATATATCACATTTTGGAAGAACAGTCAAAATTCGGTTCTATATAGATTCTCTGTGTCTCGTGAAAGTTACAGAGTGTCCTTCAACAATATGTCGACACGTTCCACAGTTACTTCTGTTACATCTGGATACAGTAGGATGGCCAGTCCATGACGTTGATTCCAGCGTTTTGAAGGACATTTCGTGTCAACATCGCGGTATGCGGCCGAGCATTATCATGCTTGAACTGTAGACCTGGCCATGAGCCGCCATGAAAGGAACGAGTTCAGGGGTGAGCACTTGGTCGCGGTAAGCAGCAGCTGTGAGGTTTCCACGGATGACCAGAAGTCGGGAACGGTTGTTCCCACAGAAAGCACCCCACACCATGCAACTTCCGCCCCCGAATCTGCCGACTTCCTGTACACAACATTGGGCATACCGTTCACAACGTCGTCTAAAGACTCTATGCCTGCCGTCCGCGAATCTGAGGGTAAACCTGGATTCATAGCTAAAGACGACTCGATTCCAGTCTCTCTGGGTCCATCGGAGTTGACGTTGGGCCCACAGCAGACGTTGACGTTGATGAAACGGCGTCAATATTGGCCCTCGATATGGACGTCGAGAATGGAGATTGGCAGCCCGCAACCGATTTTGAGTGGTCTGTGAGGACAGTCGACCTCTAAACATCTCAGCCCTTGTTCGTGTAGCCAGCAGAAATCTGTCACGTAGGTGACGTAGGACGATTTGACGGTCACACGTGGACGACCCGACCTTCGGCGATCAGAACTGGTGCCAGTTTGTTGTAGACGACCTCGCAAGTCATACACAGTACGACGGCTGCATCCCATTGCTCTTGCGACGTCAATAACTGATGTTCACGTTGCACATTTGACAATCGTGGCATTCCAAGTACAGTTAGAACTGTGGTTTAAAAGTGTTTTTTTTCAATTCTTGAGGCCAATGCAAACACGTGCATATGAAGAAAACTTCGATTCGAAGATCACGTGATCGACTGCACGTGCAAAACCTGATTTAGCATTAACATCATTTGCACGACGAATGGATGGGTTTGAGTGGGTTTTGCTAACGTTTTTCTAGAGTAGAAGATTACATTTTGTGAAGTTTCTTTTTTGACTCAGTATAGAATCCGGATAAACGGATCAAACTGTTCCCATTATGATCTTCTCACACTCTGTGTGTTTTGTGTTCGTTTCAAACTCCTCCCTACGTATAAACATTGGAGGTTTTTTGGACACATGTAAAACATTGCATGTATGCCTAGCTTTTCTCGTTGTACAGAACATAAGCGAATATAGGGTATTCAGCTCGTATCGTGTCATTCGGTTTCACAATGATAACATGATGGTATTTACGCTGTTGTATAACACATATCAAAAGCATGGGCCACTGCATTACACGCCATATGAACACTGACAGATGTTTTACCCCTTGTGTAAGGATACCCTATGAACGTGCACTGATAACACACAAAGCCCATATATAATGTGTAGCTGAAGGCCACGGGTGTCATTTGCTGGCTGTGAAGATGTGCGGGAAAGGGTAATCTAGTGATGCTGATTTAAGAGATTTGAATAAAATTGACGAATGGTTTGCGAATGTTAGATACTTTGATGTTAGTTGTGTGATGCACTTCTCGAGATCATTCAGTCGGCCATAAGTATGAATATATTTTTATGTCTCTAAATGATCGACGGTACCTTTGTTGTTTGAAAAACGACAAGTGGCCTGAGCGAAAACAAAACTCAACAGGGCATACAACAAACACACTATTCGATAACCGCGGCAAGGTTTCTTAGTGAATGTTAAAGGAGACACTTGAGATTTGTGAGCGACTGTTGAAGGGGCACAAGGGGTGTACCATTGTACGCAACTCTCCAGTCAAGAACAAACAAGCATGTTGAGCAAACTGGGTCGCCTTGTGCAGCCTGAATCATATAACATGCTATCGTCAGAGTGCATTGAAAGCATCTGAAGCGTTGAGGCGAGATTTTCACTCCCGGAGTCCTGAAGGGACGCATTATTTGCATTTAAGAGCGTGTAAAGAAATGACACGTGACTTTTACTTATTTGACTGCGGCCTTCTAGTTAGAAAAGAAAAACATGATTGTAGGAACATGCCTCCTTACTGACATGTACATTGCTTTATTACCCACGTGGTCAACGTATGGGTAGTTGCATACTAATCTCGTACGTCACACGAGTGTCGTATCGCGTTGACCTGTGTCGTAACGACTTGACCTGAGATTCTAACGATTTGATTGGATAACCGATGACCTCTCAGTTAGGTCACGTTGTGACGGAACTACTTGTTCATTCATAACAAACACGTGAATTCATTCATTCTACAACTTAAATGCATTGTGGGAATGTAAACATTGCGAACGTTGCCGTGTCGCTGTTTAGTTGTGAGTCAAACTGAGACATTATATCTGTCTAAAAACATAAACGCAATGTTTCCACCAGTGATGTTAGCCGAATGAAGCAACTGGAAACCAAGAAACGGGGTGCAACGGAGTAGTTTACTGTAGGAGGCTGTACGAGGCGATGACAACTGACATGCATCGTGACGTCGGTTACCATGGCAGTGACGTCATTAGTGTGACGTCATGCAAATATTGTACTACAGTACAAAACTCTTCCGCAACCTCTTTATGAAACCGGTTTCGGTTTGAAACCCAAAACATAACAAAAATACGCTATTTTGTCAATTTAAATGCATGTAAGACAAGGGTAATAAATAAAATACCACACTCGGTCTCATTACATACGAATTATACGAAACTCGTGACCTTCCTATGTTATCTGACCTCGCTTTCGCTCGGTCAGATACCATAGGAAGGACACTCGTTCGTATAATTCGTATGTAATCGAGACCTCGTAGTATTCTCTATATATCTGGGAGATTGTTATCCGTATGGAGATATCAACATGCTGCTAATGTGTCTATAGGAATCATGCATTGTAATCTTCTTACATTTTATGCCTGCTTCAACTGTGAGTTTCTGACGGAGGACTAAGGTCCCAGAGTTCCACCATCATCTCAGTAAACACTTCAGTTGTACCGACTCGAATACACAAGAAACATTGGGGCCAATGCATTAAATCCGTGTTGCAAAATGACCTTGTTATTTCACTTTTTGCCTTCATTTATAAGCAACTGCACATCTGCACGTGCAAAAAGTGCCAACAAGACAAGTAACAAACTAATAATTGAATGTAATTGTGTGTAGATAAGCTTTGGTGGGGACTTTCAGTAAAGGGCAGAACAGCCATTCCTCGTCAGGCAACAAAACAGTCACATGGTTCTTCTTGATTCAATAGCGTGGGTGACGGGCACTACAGCTACTGTTACACACTCACTCACCCTAGACACGGTTGGGCTATATTTGACTATATTTAGAAACAACTGAACTACATAGTTGGACTCTACATATTCCTTCCGTGTTGAGCTACCCCGTTTGACATTGTATTTACACACTCACTCACCCGACACACGGTGGAGCTATATTTGACTATATTTAGAAACTACTGAACTAAATATCATATTCCTACCGGGTTGAGCTACCCCGTTTGACATTGTATTTACACACTCACTCACCCGGCACACGGTGGAGCTATATTTGACTATATTTAGAAACTATTGACCTACATAGTTGGACTCTACATATCATATTCCTTCCGGATTGAGCTACCCCGTTTGACAGGACGACACACGGAAGTCTCGGCAGGTATGTAGAATGTATATACTACTATACTTCGTCACAACACATCTAATGTGTCAATGTTTACTTCTTTTACCATGTTGAACATGTCAATTGTGAACCCTCATTCTACATGCCAGTGTTTAGGAATAACCCACAATGTCTTCCTCTATACTCGTATACATTGACCCTGTTTCTGCTGTTACTTGGCTTCCACTGATACATATATATGTATTCTTCTACTTTGAC